AAGTGGTAGATGACTAAGGGTTCATTTATAAGCCAGCTAAAGTTTAAGCCTCACCTCTTTGAGCTATAAATTTATAACAACATGCTATAAATAGGCATAGCTGGAATTAAGAGGACTTCCTCTGTAAAAACATCAGATTTCACTCTCAGAACTCTAGTGGTACATTCCCAGCTTAGATACTATGTACCTTTTGGAGCTGTACCCAGGTGGGGAAGAATTTTGAGAGTTTAAAATAGAATACTTTCATTTTAAAGGCATTAGAAAAATATGGAAGTGCCATTTCCCCAGTGTATACACTGATTATTTCTAGCCAAGCATTTGATATGTGAAAGACCAAATCCAGTCTTCAAAATGTATACTTAATTCCTTGTTCCTGGTGATTTGCAATCCCATATACACATCTGGGGTTTTAAAAAACACAATGTGACAATGGGAACTGACACAGAAAAACTGGGCTGAACTTTTTGGCTTGTCCTCATGTAGATCTCCTCATAAATGAACTTCCTGAGCCTTCGAATGTCCCAACCAGCCAGACTAGGGGGCAGGTGTGAAGCAAAGGGCAAATGAAATTGTTTAGGAAGGTTTTGATCTAAAAGGGTAAGTGCTGTTTTCCCATTTTTCTTCATGAAGGTACAAACACTTAAGTAAAATAGGATTACAGAAAACTATCATCTAAATTTACTGATCATTATCTGTATTCTACAAGGCCAGTCTAATAATCTTTACTTTTTACCAGCAAGGAAACTAAAGTTCAAAGAGGTAAAGATCATACAACTAAGAAGTATCAAAGCTGAAATTCAAACATAGTTACTCTCCATTCTCAGGAAATCTTAGTGTAATAAGGGATATAAATACACAAGAAATTTAAATATTAGATTAAAATAATAAAAGATTAAAATCCTTCTTTGGAAGATCAATTTTTAAAAGATGAGACAAGATATAAGTGCCATAAGATAATTTTCAAAAAAATGCTCTTGAGGTTCAGGGGAAAAAAAAAAACATATCTAGCTAGAAAACTTGCTGAGAAGCATTTTATTTTATATCTACTCTATGCAGATACTGTGCTAGACATTGAGAATATAAAAGCGAATAAGCAACACCCCTGCCCTCAGGGAATTTTTACTCTAGTATGTTATGGGAGACTTGGACAGTATTTGAAAAAGCACCAAATGCTCTCAGATAAATAAGAGTGTGTGGTCAATCTGTCCTTGTTTGGAATCCATTTCACCCTGGAAAGCTAGACCTATGTCTGGCACAGAGCCTTGAAACTGTCTTTTGCTATAAATAGGCATGGCTGGAATTAAGAGGACTTCCTCTGTAAAAATATTGGATTTCATTCTCAGAACTCCAGCCATGCTTTTCCAGTTTGGATACTGTCTTGAGAAACTGCTTCAACCATGAAAACATCTTTAATGAGGATTTTTTTATTCAGGGGTGAATTGATTTAGAACACGGGCTTTGGAGTAAGATGACCCATATTTGAGTCCCAGGTCCTCCATTGTGTGACTTTGGCAAAGTTAAATGTTGCTTTAGTTAACTCATTTGTAAAAGGGAGCTAAAAATACCCTCGTAGGGCTGTTGTAAGATTTAAATGAGAAAAAAATTTCGTTAAATGAGATACATCTCTAAAGTAATTTTAGAAAATGCCTGGAGTATAGAAAACCCCTCAAAACAACCACCGTTGTTATGATCAGTTATGGTAATACTAGTTAAAGCTTTCTCCACAAACAGTGCTATGGCCCTGCTTTGAATATTCTCTCAATGATTATGTTGTACCCCCAAAATTATAACTTAGAAACCTCCAGGATTGCTTTAGATTATTTAAGTATGCATGAAGATGTTTACCTCACATTATGATACAGGATCAGAAAATTACAAAGTCACATACAACCCAAGTACTCGCTGTATTTCTGATTTTTCATCCTGTTTTAAAGCACTTGACCATGTGTGTCTCTTTTCTCCCATATTCCCAGCCTGAACACTCTGCTTATTTCTTGGCCTCCTATTTATTCCAAGCCCCATCTCACTGCCATTTTGCCCTTTAAAAGAAAACCTATTATATCCCTTGGCCTTCTCAGTCCCTATGTCCTCTACAGAAAGGAAAAGCAAACTAAAAATGAGAATGACACTGGATATGGAAAGTAGGAACACAACATATGAGGTGATGGGAGTTTCCAGGATGATAGTGAAAGCAATTGCGGAATGATAGCTGTGCACACCAGATGAGGGAAGTCTGCACAAGGCTCTGAGAGAGAATTCTTTCAGAAGATAAAATTGATAGTATACCTGATCCTTTTGAGAGGAAATTTAGGCAATCGATTTAAGGTTGGATCAATAAGTATATTGAAAACTGAGCAAAGGGAAAAAATAAGACAGTAACTCCAGAAAAAAATGTTACGAGAAGAGAAAACCAGTGATATCTCACTACATGGCTTAGCTTTGAATTGTATTTACAGATTCATAACATAAAATCTGATGTTGATCTAAATGAAGTTATGATGTAATTATATTGGGAAGATGGGTATATGTATGTGGTGGTGGGAGTGGGGAGAAGAAAGAGAACTCAAGCCTTTTCCATAGTAGAAAGTTAATAGTGCTCAAAACTGAAAAAACAGGAAGTAACAAAACAAGCATTTTATTTATTAGTTTTTTTTTGAGATAGAACTTTGTTGCCCAAGCTGGGGTGCATCATAGCTCACTTTAGCCTCGAACTCCCAGGCTCAAGCAATCCTCCTATCTCAGTCTTCTTAGTAGCTGGGACTATGAGTGTGTGCCACAACACCCAGCTAATTTTTTTAAAAAGTTTCTTGTAAAGATGGGGGTCTCACTATATTCTCCATGCTGGTCTCAAACTCCTGAGCTCAAGCAGTCCTCCCAGCTCAGCCTCCCAAAGTGTTGGGATTACAGGTATGAGCCACCGTGCCTGGCAGAAGCATATTATTATTATTATTATTTTAAAAGTAGAAACGGATTCTCTCCATGTTGCCCAGGCTAGTCTCAAACTCCTGGGCTCAAGGGATCCTCCCTCCTCAGCCTCCCAAAGTACTGGCATTACAGGCATGAGCCACTACACCCAGCCATGAAGCATATTACTTAGAAACATGGAGGTAAATATTAAAATGGTCAAAATAGTAAATGTTGTTTAGGAGGAAAAAATTGGAAGAGGTGAGCATGGGAATGCCCTTTTTTGGTACTAATCTTATGTAATCGTTTAACTTTTTAAACTTTATGCAAGTGTAACTTCAAGCACACAAATGCACAGCCACAAAGGCCACAAAAGAAAGTGAAAGAAAAATAGCTAGAGGGAAAAAAATAGGTTACACATTTTATTTATTTATTTATTTTTAAAAATATCATTTAAGGCTGGGTGTGGTAGCTCATGCCTGAAATCCCAGCACTTTGGAAGGCCAAGGTGGGTGGATCACTTGAGGTCAGGAGCTCAAGACCAGCCTGGCCAACATGATGAAACCTCATCTTTACTAAATACAAAAAGTAGCCAGGTGTGGTGGTGGGTGCCTGTAATCCCAGCTACTTGGGAGACTGAGACAGGAGAATCGCTTGAACCCAGGAGGTGGAGGTTGCAGTGAGGTGAGATTGTGCCACTGCATGCCAGCCTGGGCAACAGAGGAAGACTCTGTCTCAAAAAGAAAAATAAAGTATCATTTTAAAATGTGGTTGTGTACACAAGGAAAATTTTTGAAAGAATGTACTAAAATAGCTCTGAATTTAATTTTTCCCTCCTTTGTTATACTTCTGTGAATTTTTTACATGTATTACTTTTGTAATCAGACAGAAAAGCCTTTTCATATTACAGGAACAGGAAACAATTAGAAATGTGAGAGGAAAACTATGTACAAAGATGTTCATTTCAACATTGTTTATAGTACTAAGAAATCAAATAACCTGTGTAATCAGGAAGTGGGCAATAAATGATGTTGCGTAAATCTAGTGAAATATTTTACAGGTATAATTTTTAAAAAGAAGCTCTAAACAACTTTACACTCATATCATATGATTTTCACCTTTAATCATATTGTACCCCGAGCTAAAATGCCCTAATGCCCTTTTCTCTCCTTCCCTTTTCTTTTCTTTTCTCTTTCTTTCTTTCTTTCTTTCTTTTTCCTTCTTGTATGTATGTACGTATTTAGAGACAGAGTCTTCCATATTGCCCAGGCTGCAGTACAGTGGTGTAATCTCAGCTCACTGTAACCTCTACCTCCTGGATTCATGCAGTTCTCCTGCCTCAGCCTCCCAAGTAGCTGGGATTACAGGCACCTGGCACCACACCTAGCTAATTTTTGTATTTTTAGTAGAGATGGGGTTTCACCATGTTGGTCAGGCTGATCTCGGACTCCTGACCTCAAGTGATCCACCTGCCTTGGCCTCCCAAACTGCTGGGATTACAGGCATAAACCACTGTGCCTAGCCTCCCCTGCCCTTTCTTTTCATTGATATATTTTTGGCTCTAGTACTTGCCTCATTGATATTTTCTTACCATTATATCCTTCAAAAAACTCTGACAGGCACCATCACCTCCCCACCCCATTCCATTTTCACCTCCATCCTAACTGCACGAGTTAACTCATTCTGTGTCTTGAAAATATTCGGAACAGATACTCTATATCTGTACTTACCACCTTATATTATAATTATGTGTTTGACTTCCCCACTAAGCTTTAACCCTGAAAGCTGGGATTGGGTCTTACTCATTGTTGTCACTTCAGTACAAAGCACAGGGCCTACCAAATAGTAGATGCTTAATAAATGTTTGCTGGATAAAGTAATGAGTAATGTGGAAATATACTTGTGTTATGATGTTACGTAGATAAGGGAAGGTAGTACCTACACTTCAGGGCTGTATGAGGATTAGATGGGAAAATTCATGCAAAACAGCTGGCCTAATGCCAAGCATGTAGGTGTTCAGCGTATGGTAAGGATAAAGATGGTGGTGATTATGCTAGTAACAGTCGTGAGAGTTGTATATTTTTTGTTTTCAACAGACAGCCCCAGTACAGGCCTTGGACCTTGTGGATGGATTTTGGTGGCTGTCTCATTCTTATTCACAGTTGTAACTTTCCCGCTCTCAATATGGATGTGCATAAAGGTAAAGAACGTTTCATTGACTTCTGGGAAGGGGTCAACTCCTACCTCCATAAACCTACTTCACGTATGCGTGTGTGTGAGAAAGAGACAGAGAGATACAGCCTCTCTCTTGTAATTCTTATTTCTTTATGTTTCTCTTGGAAAATTTATACTACTCACCTATTAAAGTGGAACCTTAAAACTTCTTTTCAGCCAGTGCTCTTACATGTAGGCTAAAGTAAGGATCACCATCAAAAATGTCCTGGGGTCAGGGATGTGAGATGGTTCTGAGAGAACAAGTTCTTTAGAGTTAGAATTGTGGGGTCTGACTGCTGGCTTTACTGTTTACCGTGTGACCTTTGCTGTTTCCTCACCTGTAAAATGGGAGAAAGTAACAATACCTACTTCACAGGACTATTGCGAGGATTAAGTGAATTAGTGTGTCTAAGTATCACAATGCCTGGCACATTGTAAGTACCCTCAGTGCTGGTTATTGTTTTCTACTAAGTTGTTAATACTTTGATATATGACTATCATTTACATATTTCTAAGAAGATAAAATATGCTCCAAGCATTTTCAGATTAATTTATTCATAAGGGAATCAGAAGAAAAATTGTGAGGACTTCAGCTTTTTGTTTTTTTGAATTAACAATGCATGAGTTATTTATTTATTTATTTATTTATTTATTTATTTATTTTGAGATGGAGTCTCACTCTGTCTCCCAGGCTGGAGTGCAGTGGTGCTATCTCAGCTCACTGCAACCTCCACCTTTCAGGTTCAAGCAATTCTCCTGCCTCAACCTCCTGAGTAGCTAGGATTACAGGTGCCCGCCACCAGGCCCAGCTAATTTTTGTATTTTTAGTAGAGACAGGGGTTTCACCATGTTGGCCAGGCTGGTCTTGAACTCCTAACCTCCAATGATCCACCTGCCTCAACCTCCCAAAATGCTGAGATTACAGGTGTGAGCCACCATGCCAGGCCTGCATGAGTAACTGAATAACAGTGTTAACAGCTGAGAAGTGAGGTTATGGATTTGTTTCTGTATCCTATTCTGTCCTTCCTAAATTTATACAGTGAATATCTATTGCTTTTGTAATCAGTACAAAAATAAAAAATATCATGCTTTGAGAAGGTAAACATTGGACATGTTATAGATATGATTTGGATCTAAAGAAAATAGATGAGGCATCTAATCTGTTTCGAGCAAAAACATATATTTAAGAAGCCATGCATGTATATATTTGTACTGTTTATGTTAAATTATCATTTGTGTTTTTATTCTAGATTATAAAAGAATATGAAAGAGCCATCATCTTTAGATTGGGTCGTATTTTACAAGGAGGAGCCAAAGGACCTGGTCAGTACTGGGATTCTGGATTGTTTATCTGAAAACTAAAGTTCTTTTTTACTTTTTTATTTTTACTTTTTTTAAGACAGGGTCTCATTCTGTCACCCAGGCTAGAGGGCAGTGGCATGCTTATGGCTCACTGCAGCTTTGAACTCCTGACCTCAAGTAATCATCCCACTCCAGCCGTCCAAAGCAGTAGGATTACAGACGTGAGCCACCGTGCCCAGCCTGAAATTTTTTTATTGATGTGATTTCCCTTATGAGGGCTTCTTCTACTCTGTCTTAGAAAATAGTTCATGTAGCAGAAGTTGTACAACAATAGCAGTTGCTCTAGCCAATCTTTTGTTACCCTTTCCTTCCTACCTTTCCCCTCCCCTTCCCATTTGAGCTGATAAGATTACCTCTTAAGCCAAGAATAGCTACATCTATACAAGTTTGAGCATGAGAATCTCTACCGAACAGACTTTCATTCATTTGGCAAACTTCAGTTAAGCTCCTACTGTGTTCCAGGCTCTGGGAATTCAAGGGAGACTAAAACACAGTCCCTACCCTCAAGGATCTTCCCATCTAGTGGTAGGACACCAACAAGGACACAGATAGCTACAACCCTATGTGATAAGTGATATGATCAAGTACTCACAGAGAGCTGTGAGAAAAGACAAAACCAGAGAAGTATAACTGATCCGAACTAGTAGTAGGCCGAAGTCAGGTTTTCTGGAAGTTACATTTTGATTGAGTCTTGAGGTCTGAAAAGGTATTAACTAGTAGTAGGCTGAGGTAAGGCTTTCTGGAAGTTACATCTTGACTGAGTCTTGAGGTCTGAAAAGGTATTAACCAACAGGAGGTGTTTGCAACAAAAATAGCAAACATAGAAGGGAGTATTGCAGATTGAAGAAACTGGAAGTAGATCAGTCCAGCAAGACTGTAGGGTGGGAAGAGAGGGGAAGTGGCTGAAGAGGACAACAAATGCAGTCATGCAGGACCCTGCATGGTGGAGGGTTTGTATTTTAGAGGGGATTGCTCTGCTTGCAGCTTAGGAAATAGATTATAGGAGAGAAACTACAAACAATAGAAAGATGGCCCAGGAAACTATTGCATTGGTCCCAGTTTTAGCGGGGAGGGGAAGAGTGACAGTAACAATGGATTAAGGAAATGAACTCCACAGGCGTTAGTGGGGGCAGTCAAATGTGGGAAGTAAGCAAGAGGAATCAAAGTTATCGTTCCTGGCTTCTGGCTCATTCATGAAGATAAACTAATGACTTTTCAGTTCATTAGGTTGATTTTCTTAAAACTAAACGGAGAAGTGAATTGATTAGGTTGCTGGTGTCTCTATAATCTGTGTATCTTTGTTGCAGGTTTGTTTTTTATTCTGCCGTGCACTGACAGCTTCATCAAAGTGGACATGAGAACTATTTCATTCGATATTCCTCCTCAGGAGGTAAGGTTTTCTTTGAATAACTGAGATATAATATGTGAAAGTGCTTTACAATGAGAGACAACATAGTTAGAGCATAGGCTTTATTTATTTATTTAAATTTTTATTTATTTATTTTTAATTGAGACGGAGTCTCGTTCTGTCACCCAGGCTGGAATGCAGTAGTGTGATCTCAGCTCACTGCAACCTCTGCCACCCAGGTTCAAGTGATTCTCCTGCCTCAGCCTCCTGAGTAGCTGGAACTACAGATGTGTGCCACCACACCCGACTAATTTTTTTGTATTTTTAGTAGAGACAGGGTTTTGCCATGTTGGCCAGGCTGGTCTTGGAACTCCTGACCTCAGGTGATCCTCCCATTTTGACCTCCCAAAGTTCTGGGATTACAGGCATGAGCCGTGTGCCCCGCCAGAGCATAGACTTTAAATCCTGACTGCCTTCAGCATTTCTAGCTCAGTGACCTTAAGCAAGTTCTTTAACTTTTCTGTGCCTCAGTTTCCTCATCCAGAAAATAGAGGTTGTAATAGTAAGAACTACTGTACAGGGTGGTTCTGAGAAGTAAGTGAGATATATGTGCAAAATGCTTAGAGCAATGGCTGATAAATAGTAAGTGCTATAGAAGTTTTTACTATTATTATTACAGTTGGCCCTTTGCTTGCATGGGTTTTGCATATAGGGATTCAACCAACCACAGATGGAGAATATTAGGAAAAAAACTCCACAAAGTTTCAAAGAGCAAAACTTCAATTTGCCATGCATAAGTATGGCATTGAATCTACATGAATGAAGTGATATGTAGGCATTGTATTGGATAATACAAGTAATCTAGAGATGATTTAAAGTATACAGGAAAATGTACATAGATTGTACGGTTGGCTCTCCTAATCCATGAGTTCCGCATACATGGTTACAACCCACCATGGATCAAAAATGTTTGGTGGAAAAAGCAATAGACAGTGATATAATAATACAAATTATTAAAAACACTATAGTATAGCAACTATTTACGTAACATTTACATTATGTTAAGTATAATAAATACTCTAGAAAGGCTTTATAAAGGAGGATGTGCATAAATTATATGCAAATATTACGCCACTGTATATAAGGGACTTGAGCATCCTTGAATTTTGGTGTCCTCTGGGGGTCCTGGAATCAATCTCCCACAGATACTAAGGGATGATTATTATAAAACATAGTGTAATGTTAATGTAAGTATAATAATATAATCATTGTTGTTACTATCGCCATTTTTACTGCCATGTTTTTCTTCTCTGGGTTTCTGATAGAAAACCCTATTTAGTACATTATTTTTTCTTCTTAAGGTTTTATTCTAAATAAATTGGTTAGAAACCAAAAAAATTAGAAACTGCTTGTTGGGCATTTTATATAAAACATATAATATTTTATACTAGTGATTATTTTGTGCCTTTTCAAACTACTTCACAAATATTACCGTAGATGAAACTCACAGCAGAATCCCTAGAAAGTATATAGTTTCAGTGAAACAAAGGAATTCCTCCAAATTACAGTGGTAGAGCCAAGACTAAAATTGAGCTCTCTGGATTCCCTGTCTAGTACTTTTTCCACAGCTCCATACTAAATGAATTGTACATGAACTCCCTTATGGCCCCCGAAAAAGTGATGGCCATCCTGGGAACCGTGTCCTGAGGAGGCATAGTAACTGTTGGATACAGAAAACCTAAAAACATCATGAAGAAGAAAGGACAGAAGAATGCTGTCTGTGTTTTCTGGCCAAAGGCCAGTTACTCAGCATGGTGATGGAGCCTGACCATGTTGCCTTCTCTTGTCACAAATTCCAGAAACCAGCTTAGGAACTTCCTTGTTAATACTGATCCAAGTAGTGGGTGAGGTCAGACTTTATAATCCACACAAAGCTAGTGATGCCGGAAATCATTTTGCCCACATTTTACTCATAAGAACAAGACTGAGAGTATCACTGCATTCTCTGTATGTTTTTCCATCGTCTAGGGAAGATTGAGTCTCACAAGGAGCCCCTTTCCAGTTAGCTGTGCATTCTGGCATTTTTCACTATAAACATTACAGACATCTGGCAGAGTTGCTGTTTAAGCTTCTGCTTTCCAGTGGCTCCCTCCTCTCCTGTAAGCTGCTGAATGCAAAGCAGATTGTAACTTGGCAAGCAATCCTTTTTCTGATCCCCTGTGATAAATAAACACTTGCCTGTGATAAACAGTAGGCAGAGAAGCTGTAGCTTTAGAAAGCAGCTGTGGCAAAGTCAAAGTGGCAAGAAATTTGGGAGTGACACACATTTTCCCATCATGTCATGGAAAATAATTAGTTTTCATACAAGATGGTAATACACTGTACATTTATTTATAAATCCTCCACTTCTCTTCCATGTTAGAAGTATTTTGAGATTATTAAAAAAGGATCACTGCTTTGGTGTCTGGCAGGGCTAAACAGCCATGTAATTACATTGTTTTGTTATTACCTTCCATTTACATAGCTGCTTACACTTTCAAAAGGGCTTCGTTCACAAGCCTGTACTTATTTGATCTTCACAGAAATGGGATAGAATTAGGCAGTATTATTAGCCCCATCTCACAAATGAGGAATCTGTGCGTCAAGTGGGTTAAAAGCCTTGCTAGAGGCCATCCAGGGACCTGGAGGCACAGCTGGGACTATAGTTCAGGTCTCCTAACTCTCACTCCTGTGCTCCTCACCAGTCAATGTTCTTAGGACCACATTTCAGTTCAGTTCATCTGTCATTTATTGACTACCCGCCATATTTCAAGCTCTCTGCCAGTGCTAGGGTTACAAATAATTGCCCTTAAGAAATTTATAGTCTAAAGACAAGTAGAGGCTGGGCAAGGTGGCTCACGCCTGTAATCCCAGCATCTGGGAGGCCAAAGTGGGTAGATCACGAGGTCAGGAGTTCAAGACCAGCCTGGCCAAAATGGTGAAACCACGTCTGTACAAAAAATAAATAAATAAATACAGACAAGTAGAAATGCAAATAAATAATGTCACTACAGTGAGGTGCAGTGGATGTACAAGGAAAGAGTGCTTAACTCTGCCAAGTAAGTCAAGGAAGTTTCACAGAGAGAAGGACATTTAAATGATCAATAGAAAGCTGCCAACCTGATATTGTGAGTGAGAGAGGCTGGAACTCCCAGGCTGGAGCAATCTTCCTGCCTCAGTCTCCTCAGTAGCTGGAACTACAGGTGTGTGCCACCATGCCCAGCTGGCTTTTTTCTTATTGTCTAAATTAACTTATTACAGTTAAGTCAATGTTTTATTCAGAAAAGTTACCACAGTTATCCAAGATGAAATGATAATACAGCTCTTATGTGCCAGGTACTTCTCTGAGCACTTGAATGTATTTAATGCATTAATTCTAGCAACAATGCAAAGGGTACTATAATTGATCTCTCCTTTACAAATGAGAAAACTGAGTCCCAGTGAGTTTAAGTGACTTATGTAACTGTTTTCCTGGAGCCTCTCACTCAGATAACATTTTAGTTTAAAACAAGATTATGTCATGTTTAACATTTTTATGTAGCATGCTGTAAAATATGTTTTTCTGCCCCTCCTTGCCCTTTAAAAACATTCACCTGTACTTTTCATTCCAGTAATATTGTGCAACTTGTGATTTATCAAACCTTGACTCTCTAGTGTCTCTCTCTTGAATATTCTTCCACTCCACCCAACACCCTCAGAAAAATTGTATTCCTTTCTTCAAGATTCAATTCAGATATCACCCCTGCTGCCCACAGATGCCCTTAAAAGCTTCCTTTGGTTCCCTAACCTCCTTCAAAGTAGGAACCAAGTTTTTTCCTACTTTAATCCCTGGTACCTGGTACATTGCCTGCTGTTGAGTGGTATCTCGATATTTGAATGACTGAACGAATTAATGGACTTGAATAAATACATTTATTTTATTAAATGTTAAAAGGTATAGTTAGCTTTCTGATGCCTTCCTAAAGAAAATCAGCTAGTATTATAAGGTATTCTGTAGAATAATATTGCTTACAGTTATGTTTAAAAAATGGTTGACAGGTGTAAAATGTCTTCCTTCATCTTGTAGATCCTCACTAAGGATTCAGTGACAATTAGCGTGGATGGTGTGGTCTATTACCGTGTTCAGAATGCAACCCTGGCTGTGGCAAATATCACCAATGCTGACTCAGCGACCCGCCTTTTGGCACAAACTACTCTGAGGAATGTTCTGGGCACCAAGAACCTTTCTCAGATCCTCTCTGACAGAGAAGAAATTGCACACAACATGCAGGTAGGGAGTGTGTTGATGCTGTTACCCCCCAGAAATTGAAAAATGAAGCAAAGCAAAGAGTCAATAGTTGTTTGAGAAGCTTTTATTAATTCAAGTTGGGGGGGGGTCTGTGGTTTTTTTTGCTTCATAGTAAAGTTTTTCAAATTTGGTGGGAGGGGACATTTTTCACATTAGCAGATCATGAGTTAGTAACACTCATGCCTACATTTTTAAAATTTTTTCTTTAGTATTTTTTTTCCAGAAGCAGTAATAACCTTTTTGTTTAGAACAGAGGCTATTCCACAAGGTAATGTAGGCATTCCTAAAGCTTTATTCTGTGTGTGAGTCCCATGAATTATAACTGTTGTGCTTTCCAGTCTTTCTTAACAGATATTCAGTTAAGCATAGCTTATTCAAAAAAGATACCATGCTATAACTCTGGATTCTTATTTTTGTATAGACTTCATTGTGGGTAAAATCTATGGTGGTATTTGATATCCACAACAACCTATGAAATAGATGTGTGGCTTCATTCCTGCCATTCTAAAGGGAGGAAATTGAAGCACAAAGAAGAAATATGGCTTACACAAAGTCATATTAGCTCAGGAGTTGGCAAACTGTAGCCTGCAGGCTGTAGTTTTTGTAAGTAAAATTTGATTGGCGTATATTCACAGCCATTTATTTATATAGTATCCAGGGCTGCTTTTGACTACAACAGCTGACTTAAATAGTTGAGATGGAGACTACAAATAAATAATCACTATATAGCCCTTTTAGAAGAAGCTTGCTAACCCCTGCATTAGCTTGTTAGCAACAGAATCAGGATCAGTGAGCCAGCCCCGGCGTCACCATTCCTTCTGAAGAGTAACTGTCTCTCCATAACCCTACCCAGCACCTTGTCTCCTCTAAATCCCAGTGAATATAGCCTCTGTCGGCATTTAGGCTGGGCTGAGCAGATTCAGCTTGCCTTCTCTCCTCCTAACAGACTACTCTAGATGATGCCACTGATGCCTGGGGAATAAAGGTGGAGCGTGTGGAAATTAAGGATGTGAAACTACCCGTGCAGCTCCAGAGAGCTATGGCTGCAGAAGCAGAAGCGTCCCGCGAGGCCCGCGCCAAGGTAACATTTTTTTTTTTAGCTTGTTTTTCTTGTTTTCTTTTTTATTAATAATTACATAAAAGTAAAACATGCTTGCTGTAAAAACTTGAAATAATCTTAAAGTGGTAAAGTTAGTAGAAGTGAAAGCCCTCCCCATAACTTCAAATCATATTTCCCCAGAGGTCACCAGTCTAAACGGTTGAGTGTATTTGGATTTTATTTGACTAGGTTTTTGGATCACTGGCTTGTTTTACAAAAGTAGGGTTATACTGCACATGTTGTCCTGTGTTTTGCTTTCTTCATTTAATATTAATATCTATGGGCATGTCAGTACATACAGAGTTAACCTCATTCTTTTATGACTGTGTGTACCATGCTTTATTCTTCCAGTTCATTAGTAAGGACAAATTGACAGTTCCAACTTCAGAGCAAGTAGGTCATCATTCCATCCATATCACCCATCTCTTACCTATTTTGGGCTTCTTTTTTGTTCTGTTTCTCTTCTCAGGATCTTTTTCCTTTTTACTGTTACCTATTCCTCATTCTCTCTTTTCCTCTTGTTTATATTCTCTAACTTTGACGTCTTCCTTTTTTCTCCCTTCTTTTCATCACCATCTGCCTATGTCTTAACCCTGCATGGGTGGCATGGCCCCTCTGGGAGGCTCTGAGGAAATGTTTGTTAACCTAACCTAGAGACGAGTATCATTAAAGATGATAATATGTACAAGTTCGAGGATATCTCACCAAACCCAAGGTTAGGAAGTAGGGGCAAGTCTCACCAAAACAGGAACCGGAAGGCAGTTCAGGGAACTAGTAGTCATTCCTTTCCTGTGACCCATCTCACTATAGATAGTTTGTGGTGGAGAATGTCTGGCCCCCAGGTTTACATGTCTGCCAGATAAACACTAGAACACAGACCAGCCCTAATTCCACATTCACAGAAGTGAGATTCTTTTTGGCCCAACTTTGGTCAAAGTGCAAAGATACCATAATAATATGGTTCCACAGCCCTATGCCTGTGAATGGGTTGAAGAAGAGGAGCAGTCTTCATAGGAGGAGTTGCTGTGGACTTGACAAATCTCCCAAGACACAAGGAGCAAACCAATTTGTTGTCGTTAGAAAATAGTAGTAGCTGGTGGCAATTGGCTGACCACAGAACCCTGTTCTTTTCTTAGGATGCTCTTTAAGCCATAAACCAGTCACTATAATTTCTTAGCCAGCATCGAATAGGATAATAGCTCATTTGACATGTGACTTCAGAATTTTCTGTTAACCAGAATTTTTTAGATTTGCCTACTGTGATCATTGTTGCTTTGTGATGATAACCTGATAATACTGCAGAACCCTCAAGTGCCTACTTTCAAAACCGTTCCATTTAGATGATTAAATTATGTTTATGTTGTTATTAAATGTGTCCTATCATCTAATTATTTTGAAAATTAGGAATTGCTTTTACCTAGAATATGTTATTAACCAAAAGCCTCATTTCCAAACCAGATTGAATAATAGAATTTACTATACATATACTATGTAGAAGGTCAAAGCCCAAAGGATCCTCAGAGATTATCTTTCCTAGGTGGCAAATACCTAGCCCAGATGCTACCACTCCATTCTGCTATTCCCATGCTAGTAATTAACCACAGCACTGTTTTCCACTGAGTTTAGACTTGGCCTCAGAACCCTTCTACAGAACTCCAGGTAACAACCTTGAACTGCTTAGAGTTAGCTTAAAAAACAAAACTTCAGGCCAAGCACAGTGCCTCACACCTGTAATCCCAGCACTTTGGAACGCTGAGGTGGGTGGATCACCTGAGATGAGGAGTTTAAGACCAGCCTGGCCAACATGGTGAAACTCCTAAAAATACAAAAAAGTAGCTGGGCGTGGTGGTGTGCACCTGTAATTCCAGCTACTTGGGAGGCTGAGACAGAAGATTTGCTTGAACCCAGGAGGTGGAGGTTGCAGTGAGCGGAGATAGCACCACCGTACTTCAGCCTGGATGACAGAGCAAGACTCCTTCTCAAAAAAATTAAATTAAATTAAATTTTAAAATTAAATAAATAGTAAAAACTTTTTAAAAAATGAAACTTGCTTGCCATCCCACTATTCAAAGGAAAAGTTGAAGCCCAGAAAAATTAAGTGACATCCACAAGGTTGCACAGTTGATTAGTGGCAGTGGAAATTAGAATTCCCCTCTGCTCCTCACTGACTTTCCAGGATGGGCTGTGAGCCTCTTCCATAGCATTCTTAAGAGTTTGGAAAGAAAGTTTCTATCTTCCCTTTATGGCAATAAGAAAAGATAGAAGAAACCACTTAGAATTCTGAATTGCCATGCTCCCACTTAGACGGGGCTGTATGGTTAGTCTAGAAGCAGTCTCATGAACTTGGGCAGCGCTGTCTTGGAGTTCATGCATAGAATCACAATGAGCCTAGCCCTTCTGCAAAATACAGTAACCCCGGAACAACCATAGGCTTATTATATTGAAATTCTCATGGAAAATAAGAGGCCACAGTTTCTTCAACAAATAAATTACACAGGAAAGGTGGGATAGAATGGGAGAATCTAAAGATTAAGAAACTTTACAGAAAAATTCCTTAGGCTAATTAGCCATCAGGGAAATGCAAATTCACATTATAAGTACACGTCACGCTAGACAGCTATCAGAATGGCCTGAAAAAAAAGAAAAGAAAGGAAAAGAACCAAGTTTGGGTGAGAGAGGAACTAGAACTCTCATATTCTGCTGGTGGCAGTGTAACTTAATACAACCATTTTGGAAAACAGTCTGGCAACGTCTGCCCAAACTGAACATTTGTATACCCTATGTGCCAGCAGCTCCAATCCTAAGTATGAATCTTATAGAAATGCACTCATGTTTACCAAAAGGCATGTACTAGAATGTTCACAGCATTACATTGTCCCAGACTATAGAATACCCAAATGTCCATACCTAGCTGAATGGATAAAGTCTGGTTTATTCACGTGAAGGCATGCTGCATAGCAAAGAGACTGAATGTAAGTGCTCACACACATAATTGGAGTGAAAGAAGCCAGTCACAGAAGAGGACAGATTCTCCCGTGTGTTTCTCTGTATGTTAGGTTTGGTTTTTAAAGTGTTTAGTGGCTTGAAATGTAATATCTTTTGTGTTTGCATCATCTTTTATTTCCTTTTCATAACTCTCAGAAAAATGCCTGGCACGTGCTTTCGGGCTCATGTTCCTGGGTATAGAAGTCTATTAATTGAGAGGGTGGAGTGCAGAAATACAGATCACCTTTCTCTGGCCTTTCCTCTGCCCAGACCACCTGGTCTACAGAAGGGGACGGGTAATACAAATTTCACATACATGAAAATGCCAGACTTTAAAATGATGTTCTATAAATATAAAATGTCATTTGCCATGAGATGGCTGCACATTTGACAAAACCCTTGCAAACCCAAAAATAGCTTGCCTTGCTCTCTAAGATCCTATCAACAGAGTATACTTGGCCTGTGTTTAGACAAATCCGGTGGTGTTGTGTTCACATCTTTGGCAGCTTGCTCAGAGCGGCTTTTCTATGAACAAAATGTGTGCCCAGCCTGGTGGGTCTGGCTTCCCAGCCAAGAGGTTGTGTATTGATTGGTGGTGGGAAATGAGATCTCTTTTCAGCTGGTCCATGTCCAAAGAAAAAAGTGCTTAATTGGACATCCGAGAAGACATGGAAAAAAATCGGAGCCTGCTGCTCTCATAGCAGGGGACTTCTGATGTATTCTCTGTAATACCTACCTTGGAATACAGTTCTGTGGTTTTCTTTGAGCAGAACTGGCACTTGTCCCTTCTCACAGACATGGCACTTGTCCCTAGGCAGGACATGATGGGTAGCTTTGATAAATTAAGGTTTTTATTCTGTAAACTAGAGTCTTTCTCTCAGTGAGTACCATATTCTGCATCCTGTCTTCATTAATGGCACTAACTTATGCAACCCAAACCTAGAAACCTGGGTCTCAGCCTCTGTTCTCCTTTCCTCCTTATACCTAGTCTCCAAATTCTGTTGATAGGGAGAATAGCTCCCCAAGCCATTTTGTTCTCTGTCCCCACAACCTGTGAATCACAACAACCACTCTAAAGCAGTTCCACTAGCAGCTTTCCCTGTCTCTCTTCTAACCTCAGACATCCATCAGAGAGGTTTTTCAAACTAGATCTGATGGAGGTTACTTACCTGCTTAATATCATTCTACAGCTTCCCATTACCTAGAGAATGAAGATCAAAAACCCTGGCCCTCACTGCCCTTCAGAACCTGGCCCCATTCATTCCCCACATTTCGCCTCTTCCTGGCATAGTGTTCAGCCATTGACAGTTTTCTGGAATATACCAACATTTGTATACCTCAGTACCATTTTATGTGTTCTGCCTAAAATATTTTTCCTCCTCTTTTTCTAAACAGCAAACATTTTATCCTTTAATGTTCAACTTTTATAACCTCACCATATCACCCTCTGCAAAAGTGGCCTGCGTCTGTGTGCTAGCACTGTGTCTTGTACGTATGTCTGTCAGCATATCACACTAGAATGAAATGATCTACTTCCATGTCTGCCTTCCCTACCTGACCAGGAGCTGAAGAAGGCTAGGGATTCCACTCTATCTCTATCCCTAGCTTCTCCTACGCTGGGCTTATTAACCCCTAGAAGCCCCACAAATTTTGTTGTGTAAGTAAATGAAATTTACTGGGCATAAGACTATTGCCTCCAATTCTGATATTCATGGAGTATTATGGGCCATTAATTTTTTGAGATTCAAGTGAGGATAATAACCTGGAGAAACTCTACTTTTAATCTTGGTAATTATGGTACTTTAATACCTTTCCTTCTCCTAGGATTATGAGTTAAAGTAACTGCCTTGAATCTTTTATGCATTAAAGCATAGTTGGACCTGAAAATCAGGTCTTGTCACTTGGCATTCCTTTATTCATTTAACACTTTATATACCTTCTCTGTCTTCCTCACAAGTGGTCCTCTAAAGTACATGTTAGTCTGCTTTAAGAATGGGAAACTGAGGTTCAGCATGTTCAGTAACCTCTCTGAGGACCTTTAGCTGTTAAATGTTAGATTTGGGATTTGAACTCAAGTCCATTTGACTCCAGAGCTCCTGTTCTCTCCACTACTCAAGTGAGCTTCAAACTTTTTTGCCTGTGAAACCCTTTATAGAATTTAGAAAAACTATAAAGCCCATTAAACATTTTAAATTGGCACGTAAAAATTTTCATCTTGAATTTATGTACTTGCCAAGTATATAATTCCTGGCATGTTGTAAATATTGACATTTTAAAATAAAACTGTTAACATCATTCTTTTAAATGTACCCAGTGAGACTTACATAATAATGGTTTAGTTATGTATTAAAAGTATGTGAGTAAACTCTTTCTTAACAGTCAGGAGCTTTTTTAAATGTTTTTTCTTCTTCTTCTTGTTCTTCTTGTTCTTGTTCTTCTTCTTCTTCTTCTTCTTCTTCTTAAATTTAAGTTTTTATTCTGCCTTCACTCCCCCATATTCTTTCCCTAACATATATTTTGTCATGAATTATTTTATTAACCTACTGTAACACATTTAGTCCCTAAGTTAAAATTATTTTTTAAAACTTTCCCATAACTAAAAACAAGGTTCTACAAACATTTCAGAATTTCTCCTAAATAAGAAGCCAATTTTTTTTTTTTTTTTTTTTTTAGATGGAGCCTCCTTCTGTTGCTCAAGCTTGAGTACAGTGGCATGATCGTGGCTCACTGCAGCCTCCCGAGTTCAAGCAGTTCTCCTATCTCAGCCTCCTGAGTAGCTGGGATTACAGGCACCTGCCGCAATGCCCAGCTAGCTTTTGTTCTTTTAGTAGAGACAGGGTTTTGCCATGTTGGCCAGGCTGGCCTCGAACTCCTGACCTCAATTGATCTGCTTGCCTCAGCCTCCCAGTTTTGGGATTATAGGCGTGAGCTACTGCACCTGGCACAAGAAGTCAATTTTTACTAGAAATGCTTGTCTTCAAAAGATGAATGAGAATTAAATAGTACATATATAGATGGCTATTAAAGGTAGAATGAGACAGGATTCAGCATCAATTTTATTCCTATTTTTCATTTTTATAGATATAAGGACTTTGAAACCTTATTTACATAAATGGATAGAAATGGAAGTTTTATTTAAAATAGTATCATATAATTCTTAGCACTCCCTTTGAATTTATGTGCTAAAAAATTATATCACAGTCTTTCAACAAAAAGTATTTATAATGATCTGTCAGCTTTCAGTTTAGTAAGATACTCATCAGAGAATTGGAAATCCTCTTGACTTGCGAAAAGATTTGCATGAAGTCATTAAAGTTATTTTCTTTCTCAATCCTGCACAGTATTTTGAATTATCCCTTCGTTTGGTACCCTGGAAAATAGGGGAAAGGCTATAGTAAAAGAGAATGTCATGATCCAGGCACTACTCAGGCAAGTCAGTTTTAGGAAAAGAAGCATATGGAAACTGAGTATGTAGAAATTGATTTCTTTTATTCTGACATACACCCTGGAAAGTTTTGTGGACCACCTGCGGTATACATACCCCATGCGATTTTTCTCCTGTTCAGCCTCTCCTTTCACCTGTCCATAGGTTATTGCAGCCGAAGGAGAAATGAATGCATCCAGGGCTCTGAAAGAAGCCTCCATGGTCATCACTGAATCTCCTGCAGCCCTTCAGCTCCGGTACCTGCAGACACTGACCACCATTGCCGCTGAGAAAAACTCAACAATTATCTTCCCTCTGCCCATAGATATGCTGCAAGGAATCATAGGGACAAAGCACAGCCACTAGCCTAGCATAGAGGTGAGTGCTACCCTTCCAAGGATGAAGTGAGGGACCAAATTAGCCTTTAACTCATAGAATAGGGCTTGAATATTCTCCCCCCCTTTCCTTTTCCATATGTCAATTGTGGTGTTCCCAGAATGTATAGCAGTTATAAAAATAGGTGAAAGAATTGTTAGCTTGTAGATACTGAGAGATTGGTGATTTATGTAAGGTAATCTGTTAGTCTTTAAATAGTTAAAAGTTTGTATTTTTAGATTATTATGTAATAGGTTAGATCCCCCTTGTTTTGACTTCCACTGAGTCATTCTGAACCCTCTAAGCACCCAGGCCAGAGGCAAGAACCTAGGCTGTAACTGCCACCTGACACCGCTGGCTGGATTGCAGAAAGTGACGACCTTACACCACAACCAGCTTTTCTAGGTCATATGTGCCTTATCTCCAGAGATCCAAAGAGTCTTTTTCTTTTTTTCATTTTTTCTTCTTCTTTTTTTTTTTTTTTTTTTTTTTTGAGACAGAGTTTTGCTCTTGTTGCCCAGGCCGGAGAGCAATGGCATGATCTTGGCTCACTGCCACCTCTACCTCCCAGGTTCCAGCAATTCTTCTGCCTCAGTCTCCCCAGTAGCTGGGATTATAGGCATGTGCCACCATACCCAGCTAATTTTAGTATTTTTTTTTTTAAAGTAGAGACAGATTTTCACCATGTTGGCCAGGTTAATCAAGAACTTCTGACCTCATGTAATCCGCCCACCTCGGTCTTCCAAAGTGCTGGAATTACAGGTGTAAGCCCATGCCAGAGAGTCTTAATTAAGGAAATTTCCCTAATGTTCATTTATGTTCCAAATCCAAACCATATTTCAGAATAATCCTTACTTGAGAGTAGCCATTTTCTTGCCTGTACTTGTCAGAACTAGGGGAAATAGTCAAGACTAATGAAAAAGATCACCCTAACCCTTCAAAGACTTTTAAATTCACTAGTATAGTGGCCCTTTTTAAAATATGTCCATTTTTTAACTTCTTTGAGCCTTCTTTATGAGTAAATGATTCCTCTGTGTTCTTTCAAACCAGCTAAATATTTGTCACAAAAGTGCTTTTTTCTCACTGTTGCCTATTTTCATATATCAGGTTTTAAATAGTTTTAATTTTACAATAAAATTTTCTCTACATTCTATATGCAATTGTTATATATCGATTTGAATAGCCTAAGGACTAAAATACCTTTTTAAGAGATAACTTCAGGAAGCCATTATATTTTACTTTCTGCATGCTGTTAACTGTGGTACACTGTGAAATATCTTGATTACAAACCCATTCATTACATAGTATAAGGAATTCACAATATATTGGATACGTAATGTCTAATGACCTTGGGCAGATACTGTCAAACTGATGATATCTATATAGATGTAGATCTTTCTAATTTGCCTAGTCATTCTTCTATCATGTATATTGATGCTGAAAGAGGAAGTGGTCAGCTCCTCTGGACCACAATTTCTTTGCAAACGTCTGTGAATCTGAGCAACCTGGCATTCTACTTACTGGTCCAGAAAGCTGGCAGGTGACATTTGTAACACTTCTTTGAGACTCTGAGTTCACCTCGGGAAGTCTAAGAATAACAGCTTTCCTTCCCAGCACTAACCTTTATAGCTGTCCTTAGATGAACGACTCTGTCCCTCCAGCCAATGGATGTTCTTTCCCCTGTCCCCCAGTTTCAAGCTTATTTTAGGAAACCTTGAACAACCATGTATCCTGGCTCCTAGGTGAGTGTACTAGAGATATGGATAGGTGTAACTGAAACTGAAACTCAAGTTGCACTCATATTTTGAATTTTAAAATGATAAGTTTTATCTGTTGTGTGAAGTGGCTCACCCTTGAGGACCAGGAGTCTCCATATCCTGACTGAAAATCTTTTCTGAGACTTAGGGTAACAGTACTTTTGGTTCGTTGAGTTCTCCTGTCTCCAGATACCAGATGATCTTCACTTTTCTGCCTTGTGAATTCATAAGCCCATAGGTTGAAATTAAATCACTTGGGAGGGACGCATAGAAGGAGCTCTAGGAACACAGTGCCAGTGCAAGCTTTTTCCAGGTGACCTCCCTTTCCAACAATGTACATAATAAAGTGTATGCACTTCCACTAATATTTTTGGAGTGAGAGTCTGTTTCAGCCTGCATTGGGTATATGTGGATTTCAGTTTTCAGAAGTAATACATTAGATCCTTCAGTTCTGAGCTGGCTGCCTGAGTTCTTCTTGTGCTTTGTGGGCCAGGGGAAGGGGCAGGCTGCTGTGGACCATCTGCTGTCTCCCAGGTCCAGGCCCCCTCTGGTGCACTGACCCACACATTTTCCCTGGGGAGTTAGAGATCCATGCGCACACACACACACCCCCACCACAAAGTTTTAACTGGCTTCATTTTCCTTTGCCTTCCTCCAAACGGGACAGGAACCCACTTCTTGCTGTCACCCAGTTAATCACATAGACATATGCTTTACTTAAAAAGAGTGAAAAAATGATATAAAACCAATGGATTTTACCTGCAACATCTGACCTTTGAAGAACTGTCTTGAATTAATGGCTACCATTTGGGAGCACCAGTCACTCAGCTCTGTGCACAAATACTTGTACATACATTCCATCATTTTATCTCCAAATAGCTTGCTACACACTTTATTGTCATCATTTTGTAGATGAGAACACTGGGGTTCAAAGGTTAAGACAGCCAGCCAAAGTCACATGTTTAAAAAGGAACAGAGCTGGGATTTAAACCGAGGTCTGTCTAATGCCAAAGATTTGTAAGGTATATCAGTGTATCTTCGTGTGACACTGCCTGCCTCTAGTGCCCCCATTCACACACCACCACTACCATTTTATAGATAGATAGATAGATCACAACTTTCCCCAAGACTATCAAAGTTTATTTGTCTTTATATTCACACCTAGACAGGCCCTAAACTTGAACTTTAGTTTTGGGCCATCTGATTCAGCCAAAGTTCATTGCAAAACGAGGAGAGTTGATTATACATTTGTAACCACAAATGTGTAAGACACTGGCCTGACCAAGAGGAAACCAGTGTTCCATAGACTTTGAGCTTACGTCGCTTTTTAAAGGATATCATCTCTTTTGATACAAACCTAGTCTCACAGTTACTTGGCTGGTAAATAGTGAATCCAGTGCCCCTCCTCCTCCTTTCAGCAACAAACCCCTTTTTTCAAAGGTAACTGCATTGCTAAAAGGTTTACAATGTCTTTTGCCAGGATAAATTCTTGAGTTCACATTTATAACATTTACTGAATATAAAGTAACTCAATGATAACAATGAGGCTGTTTTGAAAAACAAAAATTAATATTAATCAGTTATGAAACAGTTCCAATCTTATATTCGGAGTCTACATTCAATTTCTCCATTTTGCTGAAGTGTCTGTTTTTATTACCACTTTGAACATGGAATCTGAAGCTAATGTTTATGAAATCACATAAGCACCTCATAGATTTTCTGTTTGCAAATCACTGCTCTGGAATGCTTTTCTTGCTATACCATCCACCTTATAATGTGACCTTAGATAAATCATATGTTCTCTCAGCCTCATTTTTTCTCACCTGTAAAACAAGATTATAGTCCACCTGTTTGGGTCTCAGACCTTTTGAGAATGTGTTGGAAGCTACAGAGTGCTTTGTCTGAAAACTGCACATAGTGTGCACAACACAAAGTTGCATCCTTTAGGGGTACACTGGCCCGTACCAAACCTATCCAAAGACTTAAGAAATCCTGGGCTAGATCATGTCTAAGATCCTAACTTCAAAGCTATGTAGTTACCTAAAGAGTTTTTACTTTATAGGAACCAAGGCAAAAGGAACCAGGGTTCAATGCCAGCACTGTGCAAGATACTTTATACATCTTTTTTCATTTTCATTTATAATCTCATTTGGCTGTGTTGGCCAGGCCACAGGAAAATCCACAGGGATATTAGTGGTGATCTCTTCCTGTGATGTTGTTAACATCAGGTCTACAGCAGATCCAGACTCAGATCAAGCTAGGATTTGCCTAAACCAGACATACTTGCTAATAGGATACGGCCCCTTTCAATCTATCTTATAGCCAGAAGTGTTTAGTGAGAAACGAAATTGAAGGCTTATTAAAACTGAGGTTTTAGAATAAACTCTAGAAACTTAGTAATCATAATATAGGCTGCAAATCTTCCCCGAAAGATTCTAGGAGAAAAAAATGACTGGAAGTTGAGCACTCCAAAAATTGCTGGATGCCACAGAACTGTAAGGAGCCATTACTTTCAATTTTTATTTTCAGCTTCTGGCCCCTAAGTCTCCAGCAAAGTGGCAGTCTACCTAGCATCCATTTATCTCCTCCCTCCTTCCTAGGAACCATGACTTGGTTCAGATACCTCCCCGTTAGAGCTCTGACCTCAAAAGAATTCACCCCCAGCAGCTGGGATGAACCTAAGTGGCCTATGAATAATTCCACCCTTCTAGCCCATGATTCCATCAGGAATGATTATGTGACCCAATATGGGCTCTTGAGACCTGAGGAAAGGTTTTCTGTGGACTTGGGAGCAGTTCCTCCTCCCTTTTCTGCAAACATTTCTAGAAACAGTCCTCTTTTCCTCTGGGCATTGCTGTTCATGGGTGTGGAGCAGCCAGAACACCTACAGATATTTCACTGCCAGACTAGGGAGGGCCAGGCCAAGAAGAAAGAGCAGGAAACCCAGGCCTACTGGATTTAGTCAACCATGAAGGCCTCCTCAACTCTTGAACTGATTATGTATCAGAGCACATAAGTGTGTTTATGGTTTAATTTGGTTTGAGTTGGCTTTCCGAAGTTCCTTACAGCCAAAAGCATTCTTTCTGATCCACAGTACATTGGGTCTTTACCTCCATGGATGAATACTAGGTTCTGCTATGGTCTAGGTGCTTTCATTATATTTAACCATTTTTGAGCACTTATTATGGACCAGACATTGTGCTAAGCATTACCTCCTTTAATCCTCATGAGAATTCTAAGTGGGGTGACACTGGTTTTATTCCCATTTTTCAGCTAAGGAAACTGCAAAGAACTTAAATAAGATCACACTGCTAATGAGTGGTAGAGCTAGAATTTGAACCCAGATCTGGCTCCAAAGGCCAACTATTAGCCACTATATTATACTACCTCCAGCTAGGTATTAAATTAATACAATATTACCATTTTGCAGGTGGGTAAACTGAGGCTCCAAAAGCATTTTTTTTTTTTGAGATGGAATCTCACTCTGTTGCCCAATGTCAGCTCACTGCAACCTCCGCTTCCCAGGTTCAAGCGATTCTCCTGCCTCAGCCTCCTGAGTAGCTGGGATTACAGGTGCATGCTACCACACCTGGCTAATTTTTGTATTTTTAGTTGAGACAGGGTTGCACCATGTTGATCAGGCTGGTCTCAAACACCTGACCTTGGATCTGCTCACCTCAGCCTCCCAAAGTGCTAAGATTACAGGCATGAGCCACTGAGCCCAGCCCAAAAGTTTTTTTTAAGTATTATATCTATAATACCTTGCACAAAGTAAGTACAAAATAAATATCTGTTCAACTGAATTGCCCAAAATTGGACGCAGGATCTAATCCTAGTGTTGTCCCTTTGCATCTGTCTCATTATTTCACAATGATTTTTCTATTGTAGGAGATGATGATGTCTATAACTGTCAGAAAGATAAAATATGTGGTTGAAGTGATAGTGTTCCTGATTGGCTTTTTTGCCTTTGAGAGAAAAATATGAAGTCAGCATCTCAGTGACTTCAGGCTATTTTCTTTCTCAGAGCATTGCACAACTCTCTCTTGAGGCCGTACTCTTGAACGCCGGTATAAACTGAAATAAAGAATTAATGGGCAGGCCTACCTGAAATTTTACCTCCCACAAATTTCTAGTAAGCTAGCTAGTTCTGTCTAAACAGGCCTCTACCTGCGTCTCATGAAAGCCCTAGCAGCTCTGGGTGGTAAATGCCACTTTTGTACCAGGACTTTGTCAAGTTGATTGCTTTGACCATGAAAGCAACCCTTTGGGGGTAGGCAAGGCAGGCATTATGGAATCAAGTCCAAACCCTTAGAATAGCAGTCAAAGCCCCTGCCCACTTCTCAGCTCTAAGGCCTGCCATTCCTGGCTGCCGTCTGTTCCTGAGCACGCTGTTCCACTCATAGCCCTCTGCCTGTACTTGCCACACCCTCTGCCTGAAAATGACGATCTTCCCTCCATGCTTCACCCAGAAAATTCTTTCTCTACCCTCAACACTTCTGCGATGAATCAGAATCTCTGGAGGAAGGGTCCTTGGGGAATCCATGCTTTTAAAAAGTTCCCTGGGCAATTTGCGTGATCAGCCAGCTTTGGAAACAACAGTGTAAACACACACACACACACACACACACACGAGACAAGAGGTGGGAAAACAAGTGAGAAGAGACCAAAAGGATAGAGGGGGAGGACTGGGGAATGTCCTCCAGCAGGTTCCTTGGACTGGTTTCGAGCCTCCCAGGAGAAAAGATTATGAAACAACATGGAAATATCCACATAGCCCCCAAGAGGGACTATGTGACATGCTGAGCATGAGTAGAGTCAGGGCCCAGGGCACGAAGAAGGCACAGAGGAGTCCCTCTTCCATACCCTGAAGACTGCAAACTTTGAGAGCATCCTGGGGCAGCTCTGACGATGGCAGCTGCTGCAATAATTTCTCCACATCACTTTGGGGCAGCAGAATGAATTTGTGGGAACCAGAGGTAGCAAGGAAGGTACAGACAGCTGCTACAGGGTGTGGCAGCTATGAGGATGCACACTGCCTGCTTTCTACTGCAGGGCAGATGATTGATAAGGGCTCCGGCTGCTGGCTTTGAACTTCATCCCACATGTGCCATGTGCCCCAAGGCCAGGCCTTCCAGTGACTCACTGCAGGCGGCAGATAAGGCATGCCTGCTTACTGAAGACACATGAATCCTTTGCCGGTGGACTTTGACTCTGGCTCAAGAACACTTGAATCAAACAGACACTTGTGTTCATAGCAGCCTTATGCACAATAGCCAAAAGGCACAAATAGCCAAAGGTCCATTGATGGCTGAATAGGTAAACCAGATGTGGTATACACATGCAGCAGAATATTACTCAGCCACAAAAAGAAGTGAAAAGTTGATATATGCTACAACACGGATAAGTCTTGAAAACATTCTGCTAAGGGAAATAAGCACACACACAGGACAAATGTCGTATGATTCCACTTACGTGAAGTCCCTGGCGTAGTCAAATTCTGAGACTGAAAGTAAAATACAGGTTACCAGGGGCTGGCAAATAGGGAGGAATGGGGCATTATTATTTAATGGGCAGAGCGTTTATATTGGGGGGTATCAAAAAGGTTTGGGTACAGAGAGTGTTGATGACTACACGACAGTGCATATGCAGTGTTTCTGAAATACACACTCACAAATGGTTAAAATGATAAATTAACTTCATTCTTATGCACAGTTTGCCACAATAAAAAACAACAAAAATGGGACTATACCATTAAATTTTAAAAGAACACTGAATTTGGCTTTAGGACTGCCTACAAGCCTTGCCAAATCTTCCTGGACTACGTGACCATATAAGACACTTCCACACAACCTTCTTTCCCTTTCTTCTCCACCTAGGGTAGAGTCTAGGGTCCGACGACCCTCCCAGTCTTCCGTGGTTTCCTCCCTATTTCCTTTCTTTTGAGACAGAATCTTGCTCTGTTGCCCAGGCTGGAGTGCAATGGCACAATCTTGGCTAACTGTAATGTCCACCTCCTGGGTTCAAGAGATTCTCCCGTCTCAGTCTCCCGAGTAGCTTGGATTATAGGCATGTGCCATCACGCCTATTTTTTTTTTTTTTTTTTAGTAGAGACAGGCTTTCACCATGTTGGTCAGGCTGGTCTCGAACTCCTGACCTCAGGTGATCCACCTGTCTTGGCCTCCCAAAGTGCTGGGATTATAGGCATGAGCTACCATGCCCGGCCCCTCCCTATTTCCTTTTACATAGGTATCCCCCTAGGACAATCTACACACATCGCTTCTCACTGTGGCATCGCTTCTCAGGGCACCAAGATTCACACACAGGGTGGATGTAGCTTACCTACCAGTTCAGGGGCAAATGCTAAGCACCTCTCTGGGGATTCTCAGAATCACCAGGGACATACTCAGGCAGGGCAGACGCTGGCTCTCACTGTCAGGTGGGCACAAGGAAAGAGCTGAGCCACACTACAGTACACACTTCAAAATGTTTTTATTGAATTCAATTTCCCAAACACAGACATTTTGGACAATTTTGCAGGGACCCTGAATTTTTTCAGGGCTCTTTTTGGATACTGTAAAAAAAAAAAAAAAAAAAGAAAGAAAGAAAGAAAAAAACAACACACACACACACAGCAGAGTTGCTCTGCTTGCTGTAAGGCCTCTTTGAGGGAAGGACAGTTCCAAAAGGCACTGATCGGTGACACGGGTGGGTCCTGCCCCTCCTCAGGCAGCCAGCTCAGCCATGGCCCTGTCCAAGGGGTCCACAGACCAGTAATCGTCATCCCAGCCAAGGAACCAGCCCACAAAGGAGGGAGGCTCAAAGCCTTGCTTCACCACGGTGATGGGCGTCCGCCTATCCCGATTGGCTGGGTCCGTCTCGATGTACCGCTTAGCTGCAGACACACGTGCAAGAAAAGGAAACCCCAGAATCCTTAGTACCTCCCTCACCAGGGAGAGGGTGACTCAGGACAGGAGTTGACAAAGAAGAGTGTCTATGGTCCTACTGTCCCTACTGCCCACCCCCTGCCCTGGCCACCATCTTCCCTCACAGGCATGATACCCACGTGTGTTCTCCACCACCCTGCTCAGGAACACAGGAAGGAACAGGGGCTACAGCTTAGCCGCCTTCTTCATAAAGCTTATTACTTTTCCCTTGCAGTCCCCTACTGAAGATATGGGAACCAACTTTTGGGTTCCCAGCTCCTAAATCAGATCTAGTCAACTACCAGGAATCTGCTTTGCAACAAAATTTTTTTTTTTTTTTTTTTTGAAACACCATCTCGTTCTGTCACCCAGGCTGCAGTAGAGTGGTGTGATCATAGCTCACAGCAGCTGTGACCTTCTGGGCTCAAGCAATCCTTTGAACTCAATCTTCTGAGTAGCTGGGACCACAGGTATACACCAACACACCTCGCTAATTTTTTTTTGTATTTTTTCAAGAGATGGGGTTTCACTGTGTTACCCAGGCTGGTCTCAAACTCCTGGGCTCAAGTGATCCTCCTCTACCTTGGTCTCCCAAAATGCTGGGATTACACTCCTGGCCTGCATTGCCACATCGAAACCTTGAAAAGTTCAGCTCTTAAGTTTTCTGGGAACTTGAAGTTACTTCTCATCTGTTCCTTCCTTCCCCTGGAACAGATCAGTTCTTTCAGAAATCCTGAGGTTCCTTCAGAAGCCTCCGAGTTTCTGAAGGAACTGATCTGTTCTTCACTACCCCCGGCAGAATTTATGGGGGTGCTAGCCATAGAGGAGGAAGTCCCCACCCTACTGATGCTCAGTCCTGGACCTGTACAGAAGTCACTCCCACTGCCCCATGAGTAACAGATCCCCAGGGACTCGGGTCCTCACCAGAAGTCAAGGCTTCCGTCTTTTCTTCTTCTTGGGAATCCTTTCCAACCCAGACAAAGACCTGGAGGCAAGATGAGACATGAAAGGTACATGAGGGGTGCTGACCAAATTTACGACTAGAGGAAGACTGGGGAGGGGCCACATGTCAGACCAGACAAAGCCCTCTCCTCACTAACAGAGCCCATGAACTAACACTGGAGGATCTGGAACAGAGGTTGAAAACTGGCAACCTACAAACACGTTTTGTTTGCTCACGCGCCACCTTGTGCTGGCCAACAATGTCTTTTTAAACCATCGATGACATAAAAATCTGTATTTCCAACTTCTCTTAAAAAATGGAAGGATCTAGCAGCCTGAGCCTTCCAGCCTCACTTGAGTCAAGCTGTGCAGGAGCCGCCCCTTTGAGATGGGCAGTTGTAGTTTGCCTCAGACCCCACTGCTCCTTCACATCTCCCCAGCCCAGTCGGCTTCACTCACTAACATTGCCAACCAGGTGCCGTCAGCCATTGAGTTTGAGATTCTTCTCTAAAGGTCCATAAGTTAGCTCTTCAACAGCATTCACTCATTCGACAAATGAGTGGCCAAACACATTCTCACTCATTTATTCATCCAACAAACATGCACTGAGAGTCTGCGATGTGCCATTCTATGTGCATCTCAGCCAAAGTGGGCCCAAGGCTTGGAATAAAAATAACTCGCCACTACTGGCCATCATTTTGAGCCTTGTTACAAGTTCTATTACATGTTACTGAGCTGATTTTTAGGTATCATCTATTTCTATGCATATCTAAAATATTACTTCAGAGAGCACCTATCATTGATAAAATAGCATTAGGCAATAAAATATCAGACTTGGTTTCTCTTTTTTTTTTTTAAGATGGTGTCTCACTCTGTCACCCAGGCTGGAGTGCAGTGGCGCAATCTCAACTCACTGCAACCTCCGCCTCCTGGTTTCAAGCAATTCTTCTGCCTCAACCTCCCAAATAGCTGGGCTTACAGGTATCCATTACCAAGGCTGGCTAATTTTTTGTGAGTATTTTTAGTAGAGACAGGGTTTCACCATGATGACCAGGCTGGTCTTGAACTCCTGACCTCAAGTGATCTGCCCACCTTGGCCTCCCAAAGTGCTGAGTTTACAAGCTTGAGCCATTGTGCCTGGCTCTCTCTTATTTATAAATGTGTTTCCAACTAAAATGGAGGCCCCTCGAAGGCAGACATTCTATTTTGCTCATCACAGGATTCTCAGCACTCAGCATTTCGCCTGGAAGACAGTGGTGCTGAATAAATGTTGGCTGACTGAATGCCTAACAGATGAACAAACAGATTAAGTAGCCAATGGCTCAGTCAATGACAACTGCTGAATGGCTCAAGCTGCAACCATTTTTGGTCCTGATCTTCCAACTGGGGATTCCAAGAAGCAGCACTGTAGGTAGTAGAGAGTCTATGCCTTCAGGGCCAGCCATTCCATAACTCTGAGGACTCTGGGAGAAGCCACCTTGATGGGAAGAGTGACTGACCTGACACCCCTGTGAGAATGTAAGCCCTCTGAGGGCAGGGAAATATCTACTTTATTCATTACTCCATCCCTAGCATCTCAAACACAAAGCACCTGGCACAAAGCAGTGCCCGATTCATATTGGTTGAGTGAGTGGATGGCACTGTCCCCTGCCAAGTCCTACATAATGGCCTTCTCCAGGAGATTAAATGGAGACTGAGCCCAGAGGCCTCAAAATAGAAGCAGGAGCCCTCTAGAGCCTCCAGGTGATACTGGACAGTATATGCCTGCAAACGAGATGCTGCTAAGTTCAACTTCCTTCACCAACAGATTTAAAGGAAGAGTTCATGCTCCTGTAAGGCCTGGGAGAGAATGATGTTGCCTTTATATGGCATTCTGCAGCTTTCAAGGCGAGTGTACCCACATGGGAGGCACCGTCACTCCCAGTTTACAGATGAGGAAACAGGCTCAGAAAGAGAAAGGGACCTCCAGGAGCCTAGAGACTTGTCCGGCAACATCTGGCACTGCCTCTTTTAAGTCCTTTTAGCAATTGATCATAGAACCGGAAGTCTAGTTCCTCTCACTCCCTTTGGCACAGAGAGCCTTCACCTGTCCTTCACCCACCTGGTCCCAGGTGTCCAGAAGCATGACGTCATCCGTGGCCAGGTCTTCCTGCATGAGCTCACCAGGAACTTCTTCGATCTGGGAAGGAACGAAAGAGCATCAGTGAGAGGTCTTCCCTCCCCTGGGTGGGCTTCCTCTATCTGCTCCCTGAGGGAATGGCACAGCTGGCTGCAGCTGGCAGAGGGCCCCTTCCTCTGTGCCATGCCATCAGAACTGTTTCTCCTGCCCTTGCTGCTGGCCAGTCCCCTGGAACCCGCCTCCCGAGGGGAAAGCAGAGGTGTAACCTCCACAAGGCTCACCACAAAACGTCCAATCTTGTTGGAGCAGGCAAAGAGACGAGGAGGATGGGCGTCCATCTTCTTGTCCTTCAGCCGTGGGGACGTACGGTAGGCAGCCTTCCCGCCCAGGGCCTCCCAGAAGCTGTCTGTCAGGGGAGGCCACACCAGTTGCCAAGCGATGCCATCACTCCTCTCTCCCATCTCATCAGACCCTGGGCCCAGCCCTGCCCAAGCCCAACCAACTGCTCTCCCTCCCTTTCCTCCCTCCATCCTAAATCCCAAGGGGCCCGGAGGGAAGAGGCCTGAGAGAATTGGAAGGTGATGAAATAGAGGCTCAGAGAGGGCAGACTTGGCAGTTGTCACACAGCCAGGACTACTATTGGCTTGAGGCTGACGACAGCATTGCAGGATGGGGATCATTAGCTCTACTCAGCTAATGAGACGATTGTGGCTCAGAGAGGTTAAGCAACTCACTCAAGGTCACACGGATAGTAAGTGTTAAGACCAGGATGCAAATCTTGTCTGACTTTAATGCCTGTATTCTTTCCACTATACCTGCTCTGTCCATGTGTAGCCATGTAAATTTTAAATCATTAAAATTAAATTCAGCTACAAGCTCAGTTCTTCATTCCCACTAATTGCATTTCAAGTGCTCAACGGCCACATATGACTAGTGGCTGCCAAATTGAACCCAACAGATACAAAACATGTCCATGTGCATAGACAATTCTGCTGGAGAGAGCTGCTTTAGACCAAGTCATTCTTCTCCACTTCTGTTAAGTATCAAGCAGCTGGGAATGGACTCGAAATAACAGTAGAAAGACTGCCTGCTGGCAGAAGGAAGAGCTTCCCGGCCCACGATCTGGACACAGAGCAGGCTGGTGGCATTTCCGTCCATGGAGATTCTAGAGATGCAGAGACCACTGCCCCTCCGACGCTACCAGCCCTGCCTACCGCCTTTCAAGGCTTCCTAGCAAGGGACTGCCTCCTTCCACAGCCCGACTGCTCCTTCCCATACTGGGCTTTCCTTCCTTTAACTCCTGGAGACCTCTTTCTTTCTGGCCATAGCCCTCATTTTAATCCAACTGCTTTTATTTAACATACCTTAGGGGACAGGCCCTGGGGAGGGGGAGGATTTAGTGCCCCCACACAGAAGGAAAGGAGGGAAATGTGACAGCTGCATCCCGGCTCCTACCTGGCTCGCTGCCTTCTGTCACCTGCACAGGTTGAGCCCGCAGCACCCTGAGCAGCTCCTGGGCCCCTGTCTTCTCCGCCTCGCTGGCTCCTGTACCCACCCACAGGTATGCGGCTGAGGGGGTTTTCAGGACAAAGGCATCGTTGGAGTTCAGTGCCCCAGCCTTAGGCATTACCTGGGAGGGTAGAGCTTGGTTAATCAGGAACCAGACACAAAGCCCTCAGCCCCCTCCTCACAGCCCAGCCGACCCTGCAGCAGGACGAGCTCTCACGTGGGGACTTGGAGGAACACAGCCCATCAGAGCTAAGGGCACAGACTTTGGACCCTGATGGCCTTGGTTGACTCCCATGAGTCACTAATGCACTGTGACTAGCCAAGATGATTCTAGAATTCAGGGCTGCATTAACAGAAGTTGACCACCCAGAACAAAGAAGGTGAGAGTCCCATTCCCCTCTAGGCTGCCCAGACCATCCTGGGAATCACGTCCAGATCTGTGCCTTCCTCCTGAAAGGGATAGTAGCCAACTGGAATGTAATCAGGAATGGCGTTCTGATTGTACAGAATGGTAGGTAGTGAGCTGTCCACTATGCAAAGTGTGCAAGGGACACTGGACATCCTTGAAACAGGAGGAAGTCTAAGACAAATCACCCTGCGGCCAGGGCAGGAAGGTACAAAAAGCTGCTTCTTACCCCCTCTCCCACCCCACCCCATCCTGTGCCTGGACAACTACCCATTGAGCCTGGGAGGTTTCAGGAAGGCCAATCCCTGCTGCGGTCCAGGACCTGGGAATTACCTCGACAGCCCGGGTGGCTCCAGCGCTGTTGGCGCGGACTTGGAAGAGGCGGGTGCTGGCAGGGGCTGTCTGCCCGCCCTCCCGGGAGGTGCCGCCCTTGTAGATGATCATGGGCTTCCCACCAAACAGGCTCATGAGGTGGGCAGGCTCCTTGCCTTGGACCACACGGCTCTGGCAGGGAGACAGGAGAATGAGTCAGGGACCTTGGGGGCAGGCCTCAGTCCTTCTATGTCGCACTGGGCCCACCCCTCCAGACGAAGCCATCATGCTTGTGTTTGTGTGTGGTAGGGAGTGTGACTCTACAACACACAGGCCCGGACACAAAATTCCAGGAAGGGTGGAGACAACACTATTGCCTGTGGTCCCCAGGGCACTGCTGCTGTGGCTGCTCTTTTTCTCCATGAGGACATGCCTTGCTGACCCTCAGTCTGGTCCAAGAACCAGGAGAGCCCATGTTTGCAAATATTCCCTTAAATAGAAGCACAGGGATTGCTGGTGGACATTCTTCCAGAATGGTGATGTCAGGCCTGGGCAGTGACCACCAGTGGAATGGTAAGAGCAGAGCATTCCAGATCTGGAAAACGCCCTCCTGCACAGCCAGTGCACCCCAGATGCAGCCAGTAGTCAGGGGCTGGGAGGTGGGAGTGAGGCGGGGAAGATGTACATCCTCACAAGTGCTACCCACCCCCGCCATGTGTGCCACCTTACCACAGCCCCGACTAACTATGTCCAGAAGAAAACCACACATGTGTGTCGAATATATGGCAGTTGCTTCCCACCATGACCCAACTCCACCCTGATGGTGAGAACTTGGGCACATATCTCAACCTCTTGGGTTCCTCCTCTGTAAAATGCAGCCAAGGATGCTACCCAAGGCCATCGTGAGGACGCACTGAGCTACGGTAGTTACCATCTCATTTAGTGCTCAGCACCCAGACTATCATAGCCAAAGGTCAGGGCATGAAGCCCCGATCCCAGTCTAGAGCCCTGCGTACCCCACGGGTAGGATGGAGGAAGCGCAATTGTTGTCTGCTTCCCCCACATCTCTGCGAACCAGCTCTGCTGCCCTCCAGCGCCCTCCACTAGCCAGAGAGACTTTTTAAACCAGAAATCTCCACACCGCAGACTTATTCAGCAACTTCCTGTTATTCTGAGCATCAAGGTCAACATGGTCACCGTGGCCTCTGGTGGTCTGGGCCCTCTGAGCACCTGTCCAGCCTCAAATCATGGCGCTTTCCTTTCACTTTAACACCCAATGCCCCGCCCACTCCAGGGCCTTCGCCTACGCACCACCCTTTAGCTGGAATGTGCTTTCCTTCACTCTGCCTGGCCAACTCCTACACATGCATTAGGCCCCCACTGAACAGTTCCCTCTTGGGACAGGAGTGGGCTTTTCTAATCCAATAGGATCCTACCTGGGATTTATGTCCTTATACTTAACACATGTGTATAAGGGAGGAACTTATTATACGCCAGGCATGGCTCTAAATATTTTACAAATGTTAACTCTTAATCCTCACAGCAATCCTGTGGGATGGTACTGTTATTACCCCTATTTTGAGGACACAGAGGCACAGAGGGGCTAAGTGACTTGCCCAAAGTTGCCCAGAGGTAAGGACAGGATTCAAACCCAAGCGTGCTGGCTCCACATCCGTGCTCAGCCATGTTGCCTCTCCCACATCTGTCTCCTCAAGGTCTTATCATTTTCACTTGCTGCATCTGTCATAGCCATTAGAATACACGTGTGTTGAATGTCTACTACCACCCAAGACAGCAAAGCCCATTAGGGTAGGGCGGTGTCCGCGTGTCCATGGCTACAGATGCAGTGTGGAACACACCCAAGCCCTGAATAAATATCTGTACCATGAATGGATGGATGGATGGATGGGACGGACAAACAAACAGATGGTTGAGAGTCAGACAGATGAGTAACAGATAGACAAGGCTCAGGCTACAGCCCAGAGAGCTGGTGGGCTGGGCTCACCTGGACAGGGGTACCTCCCAGCTCCTCATCCAGCTGAGCAGTCAGAATGGCAGATGCAGCGACTTCATCCTGTGTAGACTGGGCGCCCTGCCTGGAAGGGGAAGTGAGATTCAGCACAAAGGTGCACACAGAGCCCTGAGCCTCTCCCTTGCCCTGAGTCTGAGAAACCTACAAATCTCCCTGTTGCCGGTAATGAAACAGACAGAGAGAGAAGGGGACTCTCTCAGAGCAGCGAGAGCCAAGAACCACACTAATAACACTTCCACTTTCAGCCAAGCACCTTGCCGGCTTACAGAGATCTGAGTGCAACGCATGAATTTCCTTATCCTAAATGTGCCCCACAGGAGACTGGCTGGGTCACCCCACGCTGAACAGCCATAGAGAAGATGCTCTGAGACTCAAATCTGAGATGCAGGAAAGTGGCCAGGACATTTCCCTGGGTGGAAAAGCAGGTCACAGAACAGCAAGTGTCATGTGAGCCCGTTTGTGGTAAAAGACGTCAACGATTAAGCCTCCCGTGAACACGTGCAGAGAGGTCTGCACAGATGTTCACCAAAAGGTCCATGGTGATTGCCCTTAGAGGGAAGATTTAGGGGGATTTTGCCTTTCTATCCCACCTCTTTGCATATTGTCTACGTTTTCCATAACCAACATATGTCATCACATAAGCAAACAAAATCTGACATATCAATGTGCTGATGCAGCTAATTTTTTTAAAAGTCTTCACACAAATTTTGTACCAGGTATTTTTAAAGGTCTGGGGTTGTCAAATTGAGAGGCATTCTACAAAATAACTGACCAGTACTCTTCAAAAGTGTCAAGGTCAAGGTTATGAAAAAAAAGGAAAGACATGGAAACTGCCATAGATTCAGAGACTTCGGAGACATGATGAGTAAATGCCATGTGGGATCCTGGGTTAGATCCTAGATCAGAAAAAGAACAGTAGTGGGGGCCGGGTGTGATGGCTCACGCCTGTAATCCCAGCACTTTGGGAGGCTAAGGCAGGCAGATCATTTGAAGTCAGGAGTTTGAGACCAGCCTGGCCAACATGGTGAAACCCCATCCCTACTAAAAATACAAAAATTAGCTGGGCATGGTGGCCGGCACCTGTAATCCCAGCTACTTGGGAGGCTGAGGCAGGAGAATTGCTTGAACCTGGGAGGTAGGGGTTGCAGTGAGCCAAGTCACGCCATTGCACTCCAGCCTAGGTGACAGAGTAAGACTCTGTCTCCAAAAAAAAAAAAAAAAAAAAAAAGAACAGTGATGGGAAAACTGGGGAAATTTAAGTAAAGCCTATAGATTTAGTAACCAGTATGTGTTAACGTTCGTTTTCTGGCTTTGTTAATTGTGCAATGGTTATGTAAGATGTGAACATGGGGGACTACTCTGTTGGGTAATGGATATACAAGAACTGTCTGTACTACTTTTGCAAGTTTTCAGCAAGTCTAAAATTATTTCAAAATAAGAAGTTTAAAGAAAAAAGAAATCTGGCTGGGCGCAGTGATTCATGTCTGTAATCCCAACACTTTGGGAGGCTGAGGCAGGCAGATCACTTGAGGAGTTTGAGACCAGCCTGAGCAACATGGCAAAACCCCATCCATATTAAAGTACAAAAAGTAGCCAGGCATGGTAGTGAGTAGTAGCAAGTAGTCCCAGCAACTTGGGAGGCTGAGGGATGAGAATCGCTTAAGCCCCAGAGGTGGAGGTTGCAGTGAGCAGAGATTGTACCACTGCAGTCCAGCCTGGGCAACAGAGTGAGACCCCGTCTCAAAAAAAAAAAAAAGAAGAAGAGATCCAACAGTCAATAATCAGACAAAAATTTCAGACTGTATAGTATGAGAAATACAAATTAATAATACACTGAGACACCATTTTATAAACCGTAAGATTGGCAAACACCCAAAAGTCTGACCACACAATCCACGGGTGTGACTGTTGGGAACCAGGGACTCTCACAGGTTGCTTGGTGGGAATGTAAAAAATGCTACAAACACTATCAAGGGAAATTGGAGCTATCAATCAAAATGACAAGTGCAGTTACTCTTTCACCCAGCAATCCCACTTCTGGGAACTTACTCTAGAGACCTTTCTCTGCACGTTCAAAATGATGTTTGTTTAAGGTTACTAATCACAGCAATGCTTGTAATAGAAAAAGACTGGAATCAACCCAAGTATGCATCATCAAGGAATCTGTTAAATATAGTACAACCACCCAAAGACTATTATGCAACTATAAAAAAGAATGAGAAGGCCTCTCTCTCTTTTTTTTTTAAGACAAAGTCTCCCTCTTGTCCCCCAGGTTGGAGTGCAATGGCGTGATCTCGGCTCACTGCAGCCTCCGCCTCCTGGGTTCAAGCAATTCTCCTGCCTCGGCCTCCTGAGTAGCTGGGATTACAGGCACCCACCAACACGCTCGGCTAATTTTTGTATTTTTAGTAGAGACGGGGTTTCACCATATTGGCCAGGCTGGCTGGTCTCAAACTCCTGACCTCAGGTGATCTGTCCACCTTGGCCTCCCAAAGTGCTGGGATTATAGGCATGAGCCACTACGTCTGGCCAAGAATGAGGAAGCTCTCTATGTACTGACATGATTGATCTCCAGGAAGAATGGAGTCAGAAAAGTAAGGTGCAGGGCAATATACAAAGTATGCTATCTTTTGTGTAAGGAAGGGAGAGACCAGGCTATAAATTATTTGTATATTTTTTTCATAAAGAGTTACTGGAAGGATTAGAGCAAGAGATTAAAGCAGTTACCCAAGAAGGAATGGGGTCTGGAGAATGGGGTAGAGAGGGACAGGGGTGGGAATAAGATTTCTCAATAAATACCTTTATATTCTGTTTTGATTTCTGAACCATGTAAATGTAGTCTCTGTTTTAAAGTAATTGTTGGGCTGGGTGTGGCAGCTCATGCCTGTAATCCCAGCACTTTGAGAGGCTGAGGCGGGTGGATCTGAGGTCAGGAGTTCGAGGCCAGCCTGACCAACATGGTGAAACCCGGTCTTTCCTAAAAATACAAAAAATTAGCCAGGCGTGGTGGCTCGCGCTTGTAATGCCAGCTACTAGGAAGGCTGAGGCAGGAGAATCACTTGAACTCAGGAGGCAGAGGTTGCAGTGAGCTGAGATCATGCCATTGCACTCCAGCCTGGGCAATACGAGCGAAACTCCAGGCCAGGCGCGGTGGCTCACGCCTGTAATCCTAGCACTTTGGGAGGCCAAGGTGGGTGGATCGCCTGAGGTCAGGAGTTCGAGACCAGCCTGGACATCATGGTGAAACCCCATCTTTAAAAAAAAAAAAAGAGTGAAACTCCATCTCAAAATAAATAAATACATAGTAATAAAATAATTTAAAAATAATTTTGGTTTGAAAAATATGTGTGGGAGGATAATCCCTAGTGTGCCCAGTACTTGGCATGGACTTGTGGGAAATGTTCTGTTTGTTTCTTCACATGTACTATATCTCCTACAATAGATGTATAATCATTTGGTAAGAGGAGTTTAAAAGTTGTTTGGAGAAATAAGCAAATGGTGTTACCCTATGGATGAGAGCCTCTCCCAGCAGAGAGTGGCAGTCCCACCTCAGGCCCTGTTCAGAGTCCAGCCAGTGCCCCCCACAACACACACCGAGGGCCCCAGAACCTCACCAGTTGTAGATTATCTGCCCCTGGCGGCCACCGTGGCGGTAGTTGTACAGAATGATGTAGCTGTCGCCTCCATAGAACTGTCCATATGTGGTAGGGTCCACAGGCACTTTGTTGGAGCCTTCAATTCTCCAGATCTGTAGGAGCAAAGCTGGGGTCAGATGCTGTGCAGCACCCCTACCCGCCAGCTCAGGCCAGCCAGGAAACCGCAGCGTGGTAGGTTGTGGTTAGACCATGGGATGAACCTTGGGCTCGGACTGGAGTTAGATAGTTTGCCCAACTCACAGAGCCACTAGGAGGCAGGGCTGGGACTCTTCGTCGGGGTTCCTGTCCAGGACCCTCATACCATGCCCTACCCCAGCGCATCTGTCCCTCACTGAGGATCATCAAGGCAGCTCCAAAGGAACGTAGCACAGTGAGAGGAGGAGTCAGACACAGACCCCAGATCAGACCCCACCCCCTTCCGGGCCATGAGATTTCGGACAACTGGCTTAACCGCTCTTGGCCTCAGTTTTCCCATCTGTAAAACGGGGATAATCATAGTACCTACCTCAAAATATTGTGAGGCTCAAATGGGTTTACTCATGAAAGTCCAGCACAGGGCCTGGCAGCTGCTCTTATTACATTAATTATTATTATTGTCTTACTAATATTACCATTATCTCTATCATTATTGATATGCCTGGATTCTTTTTTTTTTTTTTTAAAAGAGGTTTCACTCTTGTGGCCCAGGCTGGAGTGCAATGGCGCTCTCTCTGTTCACTGCAACCTCTGCCTCCTGGGTTCAAGCCATTCTCCTATCTCAGCCTCCCGAGTAGCTGGCATTATAGGCGCCTGCCATCACTTCCAGCTAATTTTTGTTATTTTTAGTAGAGACGGGTTTCACCATGTTGGCTAGACTGGTCTTGAACTCACAACCTCACGTGATCCGCCCACTTCAGCCTCCCAAAGTGCTGGGATTACAGGCCTGAGCCACCGGCTTGTCCTGCCAGGATTATATAGGTCACCTGCAGAGGCAGGACCATCACGAGGCGACCTCAGCGTGACCCCTGCTGGCAGGTCTCTGCAGTGCTCCGGTGACACCGCTTTTCCCAACTGGTCATGAGGCCCGGCAGCGCCACCTGGTGGAGCTATGGAGACAGAGTCGTCCAAGTCCCGGGAAACAGAATCCCAGAATCTCTGGATTTTAAACATTCTTTAAGGTGATGGAGTGGGATGAAACCCCATTTTACAAGTGAGAAAGTGAAGCTCAAAGAGGTTATGTAACTCGCCCAAAGTCTCACAGGCAGGCTTCCAGGGCTCTTAACACACCGCCCTACCCGGAGTATTTTCACTGCATTCTCCCCATCTACTGAAGCAATGAATGAATGCTAATAACACCAAACCAAAAACAATAACACATACAAATGAGCACTTTTACTATTCCTATCATTAAGAATGGAATCAAGTTTGCCTGAAGCGGATTCTACCTCCTAAACACCTCTCAACCCCATACCCCACTTCCCCTGATCTCCACTGTAACCCCTAGTCGCAAGCTCATCATCTTCTCCCCCCTAAACTATTAGAACAAGCTCCTCATAAGCTCTCTAACTTCGTCTTCCTGCCTCCAGCCCATTTTCTTAGTTTTCTTTTCATTTTTCTTTTTTTGTAATTTATTTTTTTCTTCTAATGATATCTGGGAATCATATTCCAACCCATTTTCACAGTGAGTTTCTAAAGCACATGGCCAGGTGCAGTGGCTCACACTTTTAATTCCAACATTTTGGGGGACCGAGGCAGAAGGATTGCTTGAGCCCAAGAGTTTGAAACTATCCTGGGCAACATAGCAAGACACTGTCTCTAATGAAAAAAAAATAAAAAAAAAAAAAAAAAAAAAGATAAAGCATAGATCTGAGTCTGTTGCATTTCTGATTTAATAAAAAGAAAAACTCCTCACTAGCACCCACTGGTTAGAGAATCAAGTCCATGCCCTTGAAATTGACATTCAAGGCCCCTCCCTGAGGATGCCATCAGCACTAGTCCCCTGGGACAGCTCCCTCCTCCCCAAACATAGTGAGTCCCGCCTGGAATGCCCACCACTCTCCACTCTTCCCTTCTGGCAGCAAAGCCCTACTCCTACTCTGAGACCCCACCCAAGGGTCCCCATCTCCGTGCAGGCTGCTCTGACCAACCACCCCTGCTGCCCTTCCTGTGTCCCCACAATCCCCTGTGCTCCCTCCCATCTTCCACTGATCACACAGGTCTGTGGCTGTGGTCAGCTCCCCTCAGATCAGGCATTCCTCAGGGCAGGGTAGGGCCAAGACACTTGGCCCAGGGTCTGATACACAGTAGGTGCTCAGGGTGCATTGGCTGTAAAAACTAAGTAACATCAAAGAATCTCAACTACCAAAATTGTGCAAGCCTCAGAGACAAATGTCCTCGGGGAAGCGAGAGGCAGTGCATGGGGAAAGCGAGGGAGGGGCCTGGACACACCCACCCACCCCCTAAAGGTACCTGTTTCTGGCCAGTGCCATCGTCATCCATGCCATGCTGGGCGGCCATAGCAGTGGAGGTGTGCAGGGTGGCAGCGTCAAAGGGCACCCGCTCCACGTTGGCGATGTGGCTGGAAAGGTAGGACAAGCCCAGGCCGTCTGTCTGGTCTGGGTCCCGCCAGTTCTTGAAGAACTGCTTGAACAGTGGGGTCTCACCGCCCTCAGGAAGGACCGAGACCTGGGGAGGAGAGGTGGAGGAGCAGGATGTGGCTGGGCCGCCCAGCAGGGGTTCCCAGGGGAGCCTCAGATACCCCATCCACACTGAGGGTGGGACACCCACCCTACTTTGGCCCATCCCCTCCAAACAGGACCCACCCCTTCCCATCCTACCTGGCCTCCAAGACTCACCTGAGTCTGCTTGGGGTAGTCCATCTTGGTGATGAAGTCGGAGGCTGTTTTGAGGGCAGCCTTCCTCTCCTCTGAGTTTGCCTGCTTGCCTGTCAGCAGCCAGAGGGAGTGATGGAGGGTTAGGGGCCCAGGATCCTGCTGCATCCTGACCTCCAATGGTCCAGGGGAAGGAGCAGCCAAACTTCCCTCCCTACTCTTCTTAGACTGTGGACAGCCAAGATCAGAGACCCCCCCCCCCCCCGGAGCTAACCACTCACTAGAGCTCCTGGAGTCCAGCCTGGGGGCTGGCTGATGACACCAATCACAACACTATTGTGGTCCATTTACTGAGCATGTATTTTGTATTTAGAACTATACATAGATTAATCTACAAAACAGTCTCAAGTGATTAAAAAAAAGTTATCTTGTTTGAGTATCTATAAGGAAACTAGGGTCTTAGAGAGATTAAATTACTTGACCTAGGTCACTCAGTGGGTGAGAAGCTGCCACCCTGAGGACATTCCCATGTCAAGCCAGCTCCTGGCCAGGCAGTGCTGGCTCTCAGTCCCCAGCCTTCCCACTGCCAAGGCCACGGTGCAGATCAGCTGGCCCAGGGCCCAAGGGGCCTAGAGAGTAATCATTATAATAGTCTCTCTCTCTTTCTCCCCACTCTCTCCCTCTCTCTGTCCTCCTACCACCTCCCTCTCCTCTGTCCTCTTCCCCAGGATGAGCCTTAGTGAATCAGGGGAAGATATTGATGTGTCCTCTCAGAACATCTCAGGGCCTCTAAGAAACATCTGGGCTGACAGTTTCCAAGAGAATTCCCACAAGATATCCGAAGAGTTTGTGAACTTCTAGCATAGCATTTCTCAACCCAGATCATCTTCATGAAAAGTCCCCCTGCCCTATAAATGAGCAAGTTAAAAGTCCTATGGTAAACAAACTTGTTGAACATTTTAAAATCCATTGTTGCCCATAAACTTATTGGACCATACAGTTAGACGTTTTCTACATAATTTCTACAACATGCCAATTAACCTCTCCGAGAACTGATATTATAATCCACTTGGGAAACACCCATTTGAGCCCAGATCAGGAATCTGAGGCCCAGAGAGGGTAAGTAAAGTGCCTAAGATCACACAGTAGGTCAACTGCAAAACCAAGGCATCAGCCCAAGACTTCTGATTTCCATTGCACCTGGCGCCTCTACCACACTCCATGCTCCCCGAGAGCTGAGATCCTGGGAGCTGCAGGATATCCCACCCGAGGTCCTACAGGCCAGTTGGGACCCTTCCACTATCCCTAGTACCTTTCCAGACAAAGATTTTCCCGTCCTTCCCATGGTCCAAGATGAAGCAGTCCTCTGACCTCAGGGCCCCCTGGGCGAAGGGGTTCTCATCAGCTACAAGGGAGACGGACATGGTGCCTGCACCATTGGAGACCTGAGGGATGAAGCAGAGGGAAGCAGCATGTGAGTGGCTGTGGCTGCCCAGCCCTGGGACTTCCACCGTCTTGCCCCACCCCCCGCCCCAAATGGCACTGCAGAGTAACACCCGGGCTTTCTCTCACACACATTTAGACTTTCTCTTTCCTTTTCCCCTTTGCCAGAACCACATCTGCTGACCTACCTTCAAGGGTAACACAGACTGCACATGGGAAGGGAGGGCTGGATAAAATGCAGGAACATTTAGGGAACTGGGTGCACAGTTTGCTGAAAATGTATTCTACTTCATCATTTAAAAAAAGAGAAGAGGCCGGGGGCAGCGGTGCACACCTTTGATCCCAGCACTTTGGGAGGCTAAGGTGGGGGCATGGCTTGAGCCCAGGAGTTCGAGACCATTCTGGGCAATATGGCAAGATCCCATCTCTACAAAAAATACAAGAAGCAGCCAGGCATGGTGGCGCTTGCCTGTAGTCCTAGCTACTTGGGAGGCTGAAGTGGGAGGGTCGCCTGAGCTTGGGAGGCCGAGGCTGCAGTGAACTGTGACTGAGCCACTGCACTCCAACCTGGGTAACAGAGCCATGCTCTGTCTCGAAAATAAATAAGTAAATAGAAGAAAAGAAAAATAAAAGTAAAAAGAGCTAAATGCAATCTTGTATCCTGGATTGGAACCTGGAATGAAAAACTTAGGAAATCCGATAAAGCCTATAGTTTAGTTCATAGTATTGAAGCAATGTTAATTTCCTAGTTTTAACAGATGTACCTGGTTATGCTAAGATGCTAAGGAGGAGCTGAGTGAATGGTATGTGGGAACTCTTTGGACTATCTTTACAATTTTTCTGTAAACTTAAAAATTATTCTAAAATAAAAAGTTCATTCAAGTTCAAAAAAAAGTATGTCTTACAAGATAAAATCCAAAGATTAAAATATCCAGTTGGCAAGGCTCTGGGTAAACAGACTCAAGATCCCCGGTGAGAGTTGTTCCACATTAACTGAGTACTTACTACTCTGTGCCAGTCACTGATCTAAGCAATTTCTACAACTCACATAATTATAGAACCCATTTAATCCTTGCATATGATAGTTCTGTTACTATCCCCATCTCATTCACAAGGAAACCGAGGCACAGAGTGGTTAAGTAGCTTGCACAGCTAGAAAGTAACAGACCTGGAATTCAAACACAGGCAGTCTGACTCCAGAACCGGTATTTTCTTTTTCTTTTTTTTTTTTTTTTGAGATGGAGTCTCACTCTTGTCACTCAGGCTGGAGTGCAGTGGCACACTCTTGGCTCACTTTAACCTCCGCCTCCCATTTCAAGCGATTCTCCTGCCTTGGCCTCCTAAGTACCTGAGATTACAGGTGCCCGCCACCATGTCTGGCTAATATGTTGTATTTTTAGTAGAGACAGGGTTTCATCATGTTGGCCAGGCTGGTCTCGAACTCCTAACCTCAGGTAATCTGCCCACCTCAGCCTCTCAAAGTACTACGATTACAGGCGTGAGCCACCATGCCCAGCCCAGGACCAGTATTTTCAACCGCTGACTCATTCTTCAGCCTATGACCAGCAGCGCCTTGTCCAGGAACTTGCCCTAGTGCTATGCTGTATTTAGCACACCAAGAGGGACTGTCTGCAATTGGAGAAGGTGAGAACATCCTAATGTTTATCAGTTAGGATTTGCGTAAATGCTTACATTCATAAAATTGAATACTATACAGCTGTTATAAAGGGTCAAGTTGAGATTTATTATCGAAAGATATTCCTGATCATGTTGACTGCAAAAAAAAGACAACAGAACAGCATGAATAGTTGGGATCCAGTTATATAAAATAGAAATGGCTGGGCACAGTGGCTCACGCCTGTAATCCCAGCATTTTGGGAAGCTGAGGCAGGCAGATCATGTGAGACCAGGAGATTGAGACCAGCCTGGGCAATATGGCAAAATCTTGTCTTTACAAAAAAACACAAAAGTTAGCTGGGCGTGGTGGCACACATCTGCAGTCCCAGCCACTCAGGAGGCTGAGGCGAGAGATCGCTTGAGCCCGGTGGGCAGTGAGCTGTGATTGTGCCCCACTTCACTGCAGCCTGGGTGACAGAGCAAGACTGTCTCACAATAAAACAATAAAATATGGAAAATTAATTAGGCACAGAAAGCTGTGGTTGGACAAAGATGTGCTCTCTGGTGAGGAAGAGAGGCTGATTTTTTAACTGGATATTGTCATTTTTGAAATTAAAACACATTTTAAAAGTAATGCTTTTTTTTAAACTAGTAAAATTACATGGAATTTTATTTTCTTTTTATATTTTTGAGTACTTTTTTAAACAATAAACACATATTACTTCATAATCAGAAAACAATAACACAGTAGTGTTTCTTGGCAGTGGTGGTAATCGACATCCCGATTTCGTTGCTGTTTTACTGAAAATGCTTGGGGAACAACGTGAGATGATTGAGCTTCCTCCCAGAGCTCAGCCAAGAGAGTTCCTTAGCTGGAGCTAAGCCTCCATTCAGTTGTGAAAATCACAAGGAAGAAATTATAAATGAAGTCATTAACCATAACCCACACCCCCAACCTTCCTACATACACACCATTTCTGTAGTGTTTCCCCAAGTATTTTATAAGCTATTTTCCTGTCCTTTTTCTCTGTGGACTCCCAGAAATTCTGCAAAGTCGACCATTCTGCTCTTCTTCCCACTTTACAGACTAGGAAACGGAGACTCAGAGAGACCCTGTGTACAAGCATGACACAGATGTGTCCAGAGTTGATCGTATGCTCTTATTCTTAGTGCAGGAAAGTGAAGGAAGTACACGAGCATCCACTGGAGACATGAGAAAGCCGAGGCCCCCTCCAAAGGGGCGCTTTGCTCAAGATCCCACAGCAGTGGAGTGGGGAAGACCAGCTCTTCCACCTCCCTGTCCTGACCCCATGCCCAGGCAGACAGTGCGTCTGGTGCTCACCTTGTAGAGTTTGGCCAGCTTGCGGTTGGCGGCATCCTCCTTGGCTGTGTCCTCGGTACCTGCGGGCAGATTCGGCTTGGGGCCCAGCACCTGTAGGAGATGGAGAGATGGAGAGGAAGGGTGGCTGTGAGGAAGGGGCTGGGCTCCTGAGATAGCTCGCAGGCAGGCAGGGACCACACAGGCATTCACCGTGACCCTCTCCGTGGGGTCTGATCTCCTCCAGAGACATCCTGCGTCTGCTCACATGTACAGATCCGTTCATCAGAGGTCCCTTCCACCTTGTCTCCCAGAGTCAGACACTCCAGGAGAACACCCCTGCTCCTCTGCCTCGAGACAGCCCTTCAGATATTCCGTCTACCGGCTAATTGTGATAACTACAGCTGTTGAGCACCTTCTGCCACGTGCCTTTAAAAGATCTCACTGCATCTTCGCATCCAGGCCCAGAGGCACAGATTATCACTCTTACCTTACAGAAGAGGAATCTGAGATCCAGAGAGATGAATTCACCTACCCACACAGCTATTAGGTGACTAAGCCAGAATCTGAACCTCCATCCCTGTGGCTTCAGAGCCTATTTTCACTTCCACTGTACCCCTCCAAGCTATGGTTGGTATCCAGGTCCCTTCCCTTAATAATAATCACCCTGCTGCTCACTCCAAAAACTGGAATTGGATGCCCCCAGGGAAGCAGGAACCAAGTGGCATGAAGCAGAGCTCATGGTTTCCTCCTTTTCCTGGTGAATCTTGCCTCTATTGATATATCCTCAAAACACAGTGGCTGGCAATCCCATCATGTGACTAAATGGGCCAAAAACTACCAGGAATAGTCAGAAGAGGAAAGAGGGGATTGGGGCTCAGGGGTATCTTTCTGACCTTGTTCTAGCACCAAGCTGGCCCTCAGGGGATGCTAGGAAACCATCCTCCTTAGCTCCGGCAGAGGACCTGGCCCTCCCTGCTGGAGAATGTGGCTCATACTCCCAGCACAGGCTTGAGTTCCAGTCCCACCCCTCAGGGGAGTCTTGGAGTTACACAGGGAACTGATCTCCCTCGCTCCCTAAAGTGATCAGGTTTGATGGAAAAACAGCCTCAAAAGCAAGTCGGGGCCAGCATGGTGACTGAGGCCTCTAATCCCAGCATTTTGGGAGGCTGAGGCAGGTGGATAGCTTGAGCCCAGAAGTTGGAGACCAGCCTGGGCAACATGGCAAGACCTCATCCCTTCAAAAAAATTCAAAAATTAGCCTTGCGTGGTCCCTCGCTTGTGGTCCTAGCTGCTCGGGAGGCTGAGGCAGGAGGATCACTTGAGCCCAGGAGGTTAAGGCTGTAGTGACCTATGATGGCACCCCTGTGCTCCAGGCAACAGTGAGTGAGACGCTATCTCAAAAACCAAAAAACAAAAATAATAAACTAGTTTAAAAATAAAAAGGCAGGGTAGAACAGAAGTTATTTTTTCCTCAAATTGCCTACTGCAGAAGAAGGTCATGAGTAGCCTGTCCCCATGCCCACCCCACGCGCACCCCACAGGCACCTGGAGCATCGCCTCGGGCTCGGTGCCCTCTTCAGACACGTGCACTCGGGCCCGGCCACTCCGCTCGTTGTCTCGGATGCCCTTGGACACCTGTGTGGCCTTCAGTCTTTCATACCGGTTGCTGTTGGAACCGCACCACTGGTGGATGTCCTGGAAGACACAGACCCAGGAAGTCAGTGCCCCGCCTTCCTACAAGCCCCGCCCAGTGACAGGTGCATGTGCTGTGCAGGTGCACCTTGTTCTGTGCTTGCCCAGGTGAAGGCTGGCAGAGTCTGCACACGTGCAGTATTCACGTGCAATTAGGCGTGATCCGCATACACCACGGGATGAGAGTGCATGTCTGAGGATATGAATTTTTTCACAGGTACAACTACATCCAGAATGTGTACAAAGATGTTTGCCTGCTGAAAGGAATATAAATTGGTACACCCATTTTGGAAAACCATTTGGCCACAGCCAGTAAAGCTGAGTATACCTATCTCCTACGACCCCGCAATCCTACCTCTAGGAATATACCTGACAGAAGTGCATTTCTACGTCCACCAAGACTTGTGCAAGAATGTTCAGAGTAGCACTGCCTGGAATAGCCCAAACCGGAAGCCACCCCAAGTACCCGCCTTCAACATAAAGGATACACAAATTGTGGTACACCCACACAACTGAATCTTCCACAGCAAGGAGAATGAACAATCTACAACTAAATGCAACAATACAGATGCATCTCAGAGATGCAATGTGGAGCAAAAGAAGTCAGACATAAAAGAGCAAGGTTCCGTGTCTGCAAAGTTCAGAATCAGCAAAGCTCATCTGTGCTGTCGAGAAAGTTCAGGATGATGGCTGCCCTGGGGGGTGAGGGCAATGAAAGGGGGCAACAGGGGCCTTCTGGGGGCTGGGGAGATTCTGCTTCATGATTTGTGTTATGTGGTGTGTTTGACTTGTGTAATCCATCAAGCTGTACACTCAGGATTCACACACTCTTCTGTGAGCCTATGATGCTTTAAGAAAAAGCTTACACTAAATCAGGGCGTGCTCATGTTTGCACAGACATTAGCCACAGGTGTATATGCGTATGAGCTTTGGGGTAGACTGGCCATGTCTTTGCAGGTCTGTGCTCACAGGGATTTGTGAGGCGAGTGTGTACAAAGCATCACACATCTGTAAGGTGGGCCTGGGTAAGGGCGTCCCACACACCTTGTCATAGATCATGTGCATGTGCAACTACATGCATGGCACACACATGCGGGACCTTAACATACCCAAGTACCCATGTGTGGGCATTCATTACGGTGCATCTGTGTACACCTGCTGGGCAGGAGCCTATAGTGTTTGTTCATGACCGTTATGCATTTATAAGCATGTAAAAAAGGACACAAGATGTCCATATAAGGAGATGTCAGGAAGTGTATATGTCAATCAAAGCCCAAGTACAGACTACATCCATGGTGTGTACCAGAGTTCTGGGCTTGAGTCCACATTTGTGGAAGTCTTTGCATACACACGTATCTGTACATGGGTCTCTCCGATTCTTGCACAATGCTGGTCCCTGTGGTTTGCACATCTGTGTCTATGCATTTGTTCACGTGATATACCCAAATCCCTAGAGTCAGGCCTGGCCAGGCCAAGAGCACCTCAGTGGCTCCTGGGAAAGGGGAAAACAGGACTCACGTTGCCCAGGTCCAGGATGAAGCAGTCACCATTGTTGAAGCTGTCCCAGGACACAGGCACCTCAGTGGCACGGACCACACGCCGCCCTTTGACCTGGAAGAGTCTCTGCACTACCACCTCGTTGGGTACCACGTGCTTGAATCCCGATGCCACACCTCCTTTCTGTGGGGCCAAAGAGACAGCATTAGCCCAGCGGAGAGGGCCCGGGGAAGCCAATATGGGAGAAGGGGATAGAATTGAGGTGAAGGAAATTCTGGCCTGTGGACCAGTGACTTTCCAGCAACAGTGATCTCAGTTAACTCAGAACTTTCATATCCATTATCTTGTTTGAGACTGCAACATTCTTATGTCTATTGCAGAGAAGGAAACTAAGGTTCAAGAAAGGAATAACATTTGCCCAAGGCCACACAGCTAAGAAGTGAGAGATTCCCTACCCACTGCATCTTTCTGTCACCCCTTTGAATCCCATACTCCACTAACAAGGACACCTGTAGCCACTTCCCCAGATCAAAAAACTGTAACAATTCCTTTCTCAAAACCAGAATTTTCCAAAGACACACTAGTTCCCTAAGACATTCTGCAAGGAAAAAATTCCATGGTAAAATAAGCATAGGGAATGCTCCTCACTCACCCTCCCTGACTGTTACACAATGCACATGTACATAACAAAGGCTCTGCCAAATCCTGTGGTGAACACACCTGCTTGCCTTTTGTTTTACACAGCACTTCCCTGCCTTATTGAATCAAGAACTACTTGTCTTTATTTCTTTCCCTTTCTTTCCTTGTTTTCCTTCTTTCCTTCTCCTTTCTTTCCTTTTCTTCCTTATTTTCTCTCTTTCTCTTTTTGTTTCTCTCCTTCATTCCACTCTCTTTCTTTCTTTCAACAGAGCCTCACTCTGTCCCAGTCTGGGTATGATCACAGCTCACTGTAACCTCAAACTCCTGGACTTGCATGATCCTCCCATCTCAGCCTCTCAAGTGGCTAGGACTACAGGCATGAGCCACTGCGCCCAGCTTATTTAATTTAATTTAATTTTATTTTATTTTAGACATGGGTCTCACTAGGCTTCTTAAGCTGGTCTTGAACTCCTGACCTCAAGCGATCCTTGGATGCTAGGATTACAGGAGTGAGTCACTGAACCCAGCCCAAGAATCCCTTTTCTCCACCATATCCTGCCTCCAGCTTGAGTGTTCTGCAAAAGCCACTTTGAGAGGTGCTAATCCAAATCTTTCTCATCCTTCAAGGCTCTCTGCGCAGTCTTCCTAGATTGTTCCAGCACACACCACACTTCTCCTTCCCCCTACGGTACCACAGCAACTCCCACCCAGTGGTGCCTTCACAGCAGCTGTGGGTAAGGGACAGGTACCCTGCCACAACAGTGCTGGATGGCTTTGGGGAAGTCACTTACTTTTTCTGAGCTTCAGGCCTCTCCTTTCTGAAGCAGAGACAAAAGCTCCTGCTTCCTGACACTCTGACATCATTACTGCACCCCAGAGCAGGGCGTTCGGGAGAGCTTCCCTGCTGCAGTCACAAACGCCCTCACTCAGGAGCAAGCCAAGGAAAGTCGGCTGGGCTTCCCTGTGAACAGTCCCCAGCTCCATGCCGGAGTTCTCAAACCAGAGTTGGAAAGGTCCTTCTAGAGCACCCCACTTTATCCGTGGCAAACTGAAGCCCAGAGAAGTGAAGTGACTTACTCAAGGGCGCTCAGCAAGCGTGTGGCCACGCCAAGGCTGGAAACCTTGTTTCCTCCTCCCAACTGGGCGCTTATCTCCCTGCTCCACACATGGGGGTGGAAGCAGAGTGCTTCCACTCAGGCCAGCAGGCAGCCGCCCCATCTAGGGCCCCTCAGTCCACTGTGCTAAGTCTAATTCTAGCCACGCAGACTCGAGGAGGGCAAGCGGCAAAAGGAGTCCTTCAACACTGGGTCCTGTTATGTCTTCCCGTAGTGACCAATATCCTTAATTGTGACATGATGATGCCCACTGTGCCAGGCATTCTTCACGCACTGCCTGCAAGGGAGGCTTCATTGCCCCATCACACAGATGAGGACAATGGGGCCCACAGGTGAGGGGACTTGCCCAAAATCTTACAGATGGTAGGTGGTAGATCTAGAATTCAAACGAGGCATGTCTGAATCTGTAAGATCCACATTCTTCTTTCAATATCAAGTTTTCTTCTTTTTTTTTTTTTCTTTTGAGACAGAGTCTCTCTCTGTCACCCAGGCTGGAGTGCAGTGATGTAATCTCAATTCACTTCAGCCTCCGCCTCCGGGGTTCCAGCGATTCTTGTGCCTCAGCCTGCCAAGTAGCTGTGATTACAGATGTGCACCACCATGCCCAGCTAATTTTTGTATTTTTTTGTCGAGACAAAGTTTCACCATGTTGGCCAGGCTGGTCTCAAACTTCTGACCTCAAATGATCCACCCATCTCAGCCTCCCAAGGTGCTGGGATTACAGGCATGAGCCACCGCACCCAGCCTTATAAAATAATTCTTTTTTTTTTTTTTTTTTTGAGACGGAGTTTCACTCATGTTACCCAGGCTGGAGTGCAATGGCGCGATCTCGGCTCACCGCAACCTCCGCCTCCTGGGTTCAGGCAATTCTCCTGCCTCAGCCTCCTGAGTAGTTGGGATTACAGGCACGCACCACCATGCCCAGCTAATTTTTTGTATTTTTAGTAGAGACGGGGTTTCACTATGTTGACCAGGATGGTCTCGATCTTTTGACCTCGTGATCCACCCGCCTCTGCCTCCCAAAGTGCTGGGATTACAGGCTTGAGCCACCGCGCCCGGCCATAAAATAATTCTTGATGTCAAATTATTGCAGCCGTGAGTTTCCTGATCAATTAACTCCTCTAATTTTACTGGTCTAGGAAATTACTATTGGAAAGATTAATTAACAAAAATAAATTAAAGCAAGCTCTTAGAAGACAATAGTGGATCCACGAGGGCAGGGGAAAGAAGCTTTTTGAAGTTTTTCCTGCTTTGGACTCTAATCTTCAGCATTGGCTGTTGCTTTCTAGGGTCTAATCATTAGGTGGACAAGATTGGCATCAAATTATTTGAACAAAATTCTGTAGGATAAATGTGGTGGGAAACCTGGCAAGAGCCAAGGCAAGGGTCAGAAGCCTCAGCATGTTCTCATGTAAATACAGAATTAGAAAAGAATTAGAGATATAGTCACACAGTTATTCCTATATATAATCACATAGGAATCACATATATTCCTATATATAATCACATAGGAATCACATATATTCATATGTAATCATAAATATATACACATATATAATCCTATAATCTTTAATCTTACTAATAAGTTTCAGGTCAAGAACTATGGGACTGAAGTGGCACTGGAAAACAGGTGACCCTAGGACAAGATGCTCTAAGTCCTTTGTCACGCCCGCATAAGGGGCAGGTGCAGTGTCAATATTCTCTCAATATCAGGTTTTCTCCTGTCGGCTGTGCGACAGTGTCAGTGCTGTGAAAGCTCCCCCCGTTTAGCCATCTAGGGAAGGAGACATACAAGATGCTGAGACATCTCCTTCCTCGGGGGAGTGAGGAGAAAACTGCTCTCCAAGCTCTTGTGGTCGGCCTGACGGCTGTTAGGGACACCCACAGACATCCGGGGACTTAATTGTCTCTGTGTGGTGCTGTGCTTCAGCGGTCACATGCCACGGCTACTTTGAAGTTCTGCTTCAGCACCTGGTTCCTCTTTTTCTTGGAAGATAAGAATTAGTAATAGTAACATAAATCTTAGTGACCTTGCTACTTCTTAACAAGTATGAAAAAAGTGCTGACGCCTTAGGTTCTCCTCGCCTTGGCTTCTACAAAGTTTTGGGCCCCTTATCTCCAAGACACTTGATTTACCTGACCCTATCGCTGACCACCATCACCTCATCCCACCTGCCCTGCCCCTGCCTTGTACTCAATAAAAATCAAAGCGTCCAGGGGCCACTGGACAGGGCTCCGTGCTTTGGGTAACAGTGGACCCCTGGGCCCAAACTCTGTTTTCTCTTTCTCGGTGTCTTGTGTCTTTTATTTCCAGCTTCTCGTCTCCACACCTGCAGAGAGGGACTCAAGGGACCCTGTAGGGCTGGACCCTACAGATAAATTGTTTTAAAAGCCACTTTCCAAATTAAAATGATTACATATATCTGTGTCTGTCTACCTACATTCAGAGAGAGAGAAAGAAATTAGCCACTATATGATATATATCTTCAATGGTAGAATCATGTTTGGGGGGCCTTTTATTTTCTAGAACCTATATTTCTGTAATGTTTGACATTTTACAATAAGCTTATATTACTCTTGTAGTCAGAAGAAGGGGGAAGAAAGCAATGAAGATTTATGTGAAAACTAAAGTTAAACAGTTTCTAAAACAAAGAAAAATGAATTGATCAGGGTTGGTCCCCTCCACCCTCTAAACTCAGAGCTTCTTATCTACGAAATTGGAGGGAGGGGGGACAGAAAGGTTCCAGTGATTCTGTGGGTTCCCAATTGCGTTTCTCAGGTCCAAGGGCTCCCAGGACTCTGCCCAGGCCAGATTCCATTTGAACAATGGGTTTCAAATAACCCAACCCCAGGGAGTCTCCAGGGTTCAGTCCAAAAATGAGGGCCTGGGGAGTGGGAGGAGGAGGGCAGGGAATCTAGGGATTCGGAACTCTCCTGCAGTACGGTGACCTAAGGATCTGGAGGTCACAGAACAAGAGGACCAAGCCACAAGTCAGCCCTTTCTAGTGGCTCGCTGTCCCCTCCCTGCCCCTTCTCACACTCCGAGGACAGAATTGGCTCAGAGGAAGAGGCTTTCACAGGAACAAGTCTTGCATAACAAGCCCTGCTCCTCGGGGATCTATAATTGATGAGGGCGCCAGGGCGAGAACCTTGGGCTGGACCTGCCAAGTGCGGGGGCAGCCTGAGGACTTGCAGAAGGTGGTAAACAGGGCCAGCCCTGGGCCTCCCATTTGCACCAGGAGCCAGCGTCTTTCAGGACGGAAGCCCCAAATCTGGGCCCAGCTGGAGCTTCCCTTGGGTGTGATCCAAGGACACCCTGGAAAATCATCTGGGGGTGAGGGAGCCAGGCCATCCAAGCAGATCACAGGGCACATCCGAGCTAGCATCAAAGATCAGGGACACAAATGTCTGCTGTGAGCCAGGTCTGTGCTAGGCCCTTCACACATGGTTTTGCACCCTAGTCCAATCACTAGCTGTGTGACCTTGGACAAGTTGCTTGACATCTCTGTGTCTTGGTAGCCTCATTTATAAAATGGTGCTAACAAGTAACTACCTATTAGGGTAAAATCAGTTAAATGAGTAAAGCACCCAGAAGAGTCCCTGACACACAGACAGTAATAGATAAGTGTTCAATGATAAGTACCTTTTACCAGCTGTGTGAACTTAGGCAAGTTAGTTTACTCCTCTGAGCCTCAGCCTCCTCATCAATGAAATGGGAACATTACCCACTCTAAAGGCTATAGGGAGAATTAAATGAGTAGCCAAGGCTTAACATATGGTAGGGATTCTTATCCTTATTTACCCCTAATAATCTGGGAGCCAATGACCTGCTCTGCAACATTCTTTGACCTGGAAAATCACCCTTCCTGTGTACATGAGAGCTCTCATATTTGTAACCATGTTAGACTGTTGGGTTATGCCCTAAGAAACGGTGACTAAGACAAGATAGATTAGCAGACACCTGCTCCTCTGTCTCATCCCTGAACCCCTCCCAGAGCCAAGCACTCCCTGGGATCCCACCTGTCACCCCATCACTGGGAGGCAATAGATTGGCTCTTCATGAGCCTGCTAGTCTCCCCAACCCCTCAGGACACTCTCAAGGGCAGGGACCCACCTTCCTCACCTGGGCATCCCAGCACCCAGCACAGGGCCTGACAGAGTTAAGGGAACACAAGCCTGCGTTTGAATACAGCGGCCTCTCTGAGCCTCCAGCCTCATCTATAAAATGGAATTGGAATTACTTACTTCCCAGGACAGTTATGAGGCTGAAATGAGATAACCTACATTCCCAGCACGTGTCTGCCACAATGTAGCAACAATGAGCAGATGCAGCTGTTATTGAGGTTCAGTAAATATTTGTTGAATGAATGATGAATGGGGAATGAGTGAGAACACCTGCCCAAAGATACGTGACTTGCCCAAAGTCTCACAGCAATTACAGGAGGTGGCCTTGCAACCTGAATCCCAGTCTCTGATTCCTGGGCAAGTGTTCTTTCCACTTCTTGCTCCAGAAATTGCAAAGACCTGGTCCTTCTCCAGCTCAGAGGCCTGGCTCCCAAACTTCTTCCCTCTCCTTCTGCAAGGCATCAAGGCCCCAGAAAGGGCTGTGGCAGGAAGGCAGAGCTGGGTGGCTCAGCAGGAGGAGCTCAGTGCAAGGGGAAACTGGCACACAGAGGGCTGGGCAGACTCCAGGGAATCCAGCCCAGCCCCGCCCAGCCCTGGACTGTGGTTCCCAACATGTTGGCCGTTGCTATCTGAGTTTCATTGGCACTTTCCCATCATTCAATCTCTTGTGCCTCACCAGGGCAGACAGGGTCACCATTCCATTGACACAGATGATCCTGAGGTCCAGAGAGGAACAGTGACTTCTCCAAGGTCACACAGCACATCAGCAACACAGATAGGCTTGAGCCCTACCCTAGGACCCAAGCCTTGGTCCTAGGCTTGACCAAGGACCCTGGTCATTAGGGATATGTAAGTTTAGTGGAAAGAATGCTGAGAGTCAGGACATATGGGTTCTAGTCCTGGGTCTGGCACCAATTTGCTGTGTGACTCTGGGCCAATTGCTTAAGCCTTTCTGTGTCTCAGTTCCCTTTCTCCCCCAGTAAAACGAGAGATTTGGACTCCGACATTAAGGCCCACCTGGTTCTGAAGGCCTGTGATCCCCCTTTATTTCCTGACCAAAGAAAATCCCAGCTTTGTAAAACTACAGTGTTCCCAGAGCCCTTCCAGACAGCCAAGCCCCATGCAAGGCATTTCCCAGCCACCCCCGCACCGAATCCTCTCCCAGCCCTGTAGGGCTGGTACGACTGGCTCTCAGGTAACCAGAGAGGAAAGGGCGGCTCAAGGAGGTCAAGTGGCTTGTAGGAAGTCACTGGCATATTAGGGTACAGTCCCTTGGAGCTCCTGGCTTGGCTTTGCTCAGCCCCACCTGGCTAGGAGCTTGAGAAAAGAGCTCTGTCTTGGTACAGACTCTTAAGAGTTCAAGTTCAAAGGGGATTCTAGTGAACAGAAAGAGGGATAAGACTAACAGTGCTCTATCAGACACCTAACACGGGGTCCTCTGTTGGCAAGGACCTAAGAATTAAGGGGTACAGGAACAGGACTAGGCCAAAGCCCCCCAGGGCCTGCAAGGACTGGATTTCCACCTCTGGCCCACTCCTCACTATTGGGGCCAGGAAGACAACATTATGAAGTTATGTGGAATTTTCTTCTCCCCATTTTAACATAAGGAACCAGAGGCTCAGGAAAGCAGTGTGATTTGTCCAAGCTCACACAGCTAGCAAGAAACCAGATGTAAACCCAATGGTGGTTGACTCCAAAGCCTGACCTCTGATGGCTCTGCCTGTTGCATCACAAGGTCAAAAGACAGATGGGCCTGAGTGAGCCCTGTTACTGGTGCATCTGTCCATACTGCTCGAGCACGGCGGGGCCTAACCCACCTTGTACTTCAGGCCAGACTTGAAGTAGCCTAGGAAGGTGGCAGACTCGAAGCCCTGGACCTCGCGGTGTTGCACGGCCCGGCCATTCAGGTAGTCATCCAGCTGCACGGTAAAGATGGCGGCCGCTCCACTCTCATCCTGGCTGCACTCATTGCCTAGGGGACATCAGAGCAGCATGAGCCTGGCTTCCCAGAAGTATCCCAGACCCCTGGGGAAGAGCAGGAGGAGGAGGAACCCCAGCACTGCCCTGGCCTAGCTATAGAAGCTGAGCAAGACCTTACTTTCTGTGAGCCTCAGTTAATTCATCTGTATAATGGGATGATGGACCTCATTTTTCTCTCAGGGTCTTCCCAGCTCTGTCACATTCCTCCACGCTCATTCTGTGCCCTCCTGAGCATGAAGTTGGGACTGGGAGCATCAGCTCAATTCACAGATTAGGAAACTGAGGCTCAGCAAGGGGGTAGGACTTATAGCATCACACGGCAGAGGTGTGACGGGGACTCCGGGCTACTGACTCTGAAGGGCAAACTGGGGAGTGCCCGGAGCTGGGCCAGGGAGGTTGTTGGAGGGGTCCAGGGTCTCCAATTCACCCACAGTTCTAAGTGCCATAGTAAAGTGTCTAACCCTCGCAACATTCCTGTGAGGTAGTGCAGAGCTATCATCACGTCCACTCCACAGGGACATCAAGTGACTTGCCAAAGGGCAGAGACAGACCACGGGTTGGAGCAGAGCAGGAGTGTGAACTCCACCAGGCTGGCTCTAGAGTCTAGGGGCATGAACCACTAGCCAAGAGCCTGGCGCATACTAGTTGCTCGATAATAAGTTCCCTTCCTGGGGACCACGCCTCAAAGATCTGCACTGTTCAGAATGGGGGCTGGGGCTGGGCTGGGGCGGGGCCAGCCTTACCCAGCCAGTAGTGGAGGTCGTACTGCAGATTCCCGTTCCTCAGCTGCACTGTCTTCAGGATGACGTACGCATCGCCTGTGAAGAAGTCTCCGTAAAGGTTGGTGGGCACAGGCACCAGATCGAACTTCTCCACACGCCAAATCTGCAGGCCGGGCTCCTTCCCTGCTTTGAGGAACTCGGGGTGTTCCACCACCATGCTGCTGGGCTGGGAAGAGACAGGGCAGAGCCTGAGCGGGGGCATGGGTCCTAGCAGGGAGGGACCCCAGGCACGAGGGAGGGTGGTTTCTAGCACCAAGAGCATCTCACTTGAGCCTCCTGCTCTCCCAATGCCACAGGCAAGCCTATCCCCTTCTGAGTGCCCTGTCTCAATGAGTCAGCAAACAGGGCAAGAGTTTTATGCTTCAAATCCTGTACCACAGCTAGCATCTACTCTCCTACTCCACCTGCCACTGGCTTTTTCTGGTGATGGAGGGCACAGAGGGCTCAATTTCCCTGTTCCCTTCTTTTCTTTTTTTATTTTTTGAGACAGAGTCTCACTGTGTCACCCAGGCTGGAGTGCAGTGGCTATATTTCGGCTCACTGCAACCTCCGCCTCCTGGGTTTAAACCATTTTTGTGCCTCCGCCTCCCGAGTAGCTGGGATTACAGGCATGCACCACTATGCCTGGCTAATTTTGTAGTTTTAGTAGAGATGGTGTTTCACCATGTTGGTCAGGCTGGTCTTGAATTCCTCAGGTGATCCACCCATCTCGGCCTCCCAAAGTGCTGGGATTACAGGCGTGAGCCACCACACCCAGCCTCCCTTCTTTTCTTATTGCCAATTGGATGTGATAATTGAGGCACAGAGAGGTGAAGGGACTCTGCCAGGGACCTCCAGCTAGGAAACAGCGTAGTAGGGATTGCCCCAGGCTTCAAGATCACAAGCTCTGGGAATATGGGTAGACCCCTTAGATGGCAATAGTAAATCTAGGGGTTCTTAGGGTCTCAGCTTGGTCCCTTCCAGCATCTTCAATGGCTACTACAACTAACGGGCTCTCTGAGAGCTCATTATCCAAACCCAATCTGCAGATAGAAAAACTGAGGCTCAAAGAGGGGAGGGGACTGACCCAAGGTCACACAGCCTGTTTGCTTTTGCTCTTTGGAAGTGGAAAGATTCCCAGCATGGGGCCTGGCATACAGCAGGCACTAACTCTGTGCACGCTAAATGGGTGCATTTGCAAACCTCAGCAAGCCCAGCTGATCCTCCTGGAGCCTACGGGAGCCCCCTCTCCTCTCTGCACCCATCCCTATCATACCCTCAAGAAGGGTCCAATGGCTGAGCCCAAGTGGCCTCCTGCGCTGTCTGCCTCCTCCCTCCTGCCCCGCAACACCCCACCCGCAAATTTCATTTCTTGGAAGAGGAGAAGAGGATGCACCGGGATCTGCAGGAGGCTGTTGGAGATGAGGTGGTTAAGGATGGAGAGGCCGTTAGACATGCACTGGGGCTAGGGCTGGGGCTGGGGCGGACGCAGGAGGGTTAGGCTGGAGTCAAGGACAAAAATCAGCAAGTGCAGGTCACCTCTGGCCGGAGAAGAGATCTGGTGGGAGTAAAAGTCAGAAGGGAAAAGTCAGAGAAACCAGGCGGGGAGAACTCAGGCAGAAGGGTGAAAAAAACACAAGGGAAACAGGGTAGAGGAGTTGAAACCAGACGAGACAGGGAAGACAGCAGAAAGGAGAGAAGAAATAATAGTAATGACCACAGCAGACAGACGTGGGATCATACAAGAAAGAAGGAAATACTGGGAAAGGAGAAAGAGCAAATGCGAACAAGGAATCGGAAAGGGAAGAAGACCTCGGAAGAGAAAGGAGAGAAGTGGGGCACACAGAAGAAATCAGAGAAGGAAAAGGAGAAATCAGGAGGCAGGAGGTAAGATGTCAGACGGGGACAGAGGAAAAGAAATCCGGCCACGGTGAGGTTAGCCGACTGGGAGGGAACAGCCAGAGCCCCGAGGCTCCCACCCTCATCTGCGAGCCAGAGCCCCGGAAGCAGCAAGAGATACTTACAAAGCAACAAAACAGTTTTTCCATTCTAGACCTGAATTACTCCCCTTTTCCTAGCGCTGTATCTGCAAGAACTTACAATAGAGAATTACTCCGGGAGCCCCGGGACCCCCCGGGCACTCACCCGCACCTTGGGCGCCTGAACCTGGGGCGCCCGCGCCTGGGACGCCCCCCGCGACGGAGTGGCCGCACGGACCTGCGGCGACAGCGCGCACAGCGCCAGGACCAGCGCGCAGAGCAGCGCGGGCGCGGGGCGGTGTGGAGCCATGGTGGCAACAGCGGCAGAGGACCCAGTCGGCAGCTGTGGCCTTGGGTCGCCGACCTTAAGTAGCCGTCCGCCCAGCCAGCCCAAGCCGGGGACCGCCCCACAGGGAGGGCGCGGGGCGGGGATCTGTCCCGGATCTTGAAGACATCTGGTTTCCCACCGGGATCAACCCGACAGGGCGCGGCAGCCCCTGCACCCCAGCTCTGGGGCGGAGACTCAGCACCAGCACAGGGCCTGGCATACAGCAGGCACTGGCTCTGTGAACTCTAAATGGGCGCACGCACGAACCACGGCGAGCACCGCTGAGCCTCCTGTGACCCACGCGAGCCCCCCTCTCCTCTCCGCATCTAACACCTCCAGGAAAAAAAAATAGCATGACCTAACAATTTTTGAAAGCTTTTCACTGAGGCATCAGCACACCCTTTTCAGAGAGGTACAATAGCCAACCCATTTTACAGAGGGTGGAACAGCACAGAGTGGTGAAGCAACCTCCACACAGCTACTAAAAGTGATGTCCCGGGATTTGAACTCAGGCAATAGCGGGCCTGGGTAGAACCCCCATGAGGTAGCATGCACCACAGCAGGGCAGGGGACCCGGTTCCCTTGGGCAGGTGAAGCCAGCAGGACTCAGAGGGGCGGGACAGAACGCTCAGCTCCTGGGATGCGCCCTCCTACTTTCCCCAAGACGGCCTTTCTTTCCTTCTTTTTAAAAAGTTTTTGTTTTTTAGAAGTCTTACTTTGATCAAAACGTAAAGTCACATATTTGTACACAGTTGTTCCCTCTCCATCCCATTTACCTCTCCCCAGAGGCAACCACTGCTATCTACCTCTTTTAGCTGATGTTTCAGGGTTTACCTTCATGTCTCTAAACAAGCCCTTGTTACTTCTTGAAATTGTTTTGTTTTGTTTCCCTTTTAGGTACTATTCATTGACTCTGCAGGGGGAAGACAGAGTTTGCATTTCCTCCTCATTCCCAAGCTCCTTTCCCATCCTTCCACCCTCACACTAGAGTCATTGGGTTAGGGAAAGTGCTATCCAAACCTGAGGAGGCCTGCTTCCAAAACCCTCTCCCCCCTCCCAGCACTGTGCAGAATCCAATGGCCCCACCTCTAAGTTCTCTGTATCCCAGACCTCCCATCACCCTGCAGCCTGATGCAGTGACAGCATAGAAGACTGGGGCGTTGGAGAGCTGGCTTTCGTTCCCACCTCCGCTGTGCGGGTTTTCAGTGTCTCATCTTTCTCATCTACTAAATGACTACAGTAGTTGAGGATCAGATTGGTCTTTGGGTATGAAAACAGGCTGGCCAGCAGTTGGTAAATTCGAGTTCTCCACAACCTCCCACAAACTATGGTGCCCCCTTCCCAGGTCCTCCTGAAGTCCAGCCTCTATCTGATCAGGCTGAAGTTTGCCCTCTCCCATGCACAATTTGCTCCCACCTAAGGGGGGATGTGGTTCAGATCAAAGGCTAAAGGAACATAGACAAGATGATTCAGGCTGGAGGGATTATAAGAAGGCGTTGTGGAGAAAGGGACTTGTGACCCAGGCCTTGAAGGGCAGGGAGAATGGAGATTAAGAAGAAAAGGCATTCCACGGAAGGGGACACATAGGCAAAGGGCAGGCAAACATCAGCCATATCCAGTGACTTACCAGGGGTCCAGTCTGAAATACAGGGAGCATGAGCAGAGGAGGCTGCCGAGGACAGCAGGGGTCACAGAGGCCTGTGTGCCACACTGAAGAGTGTGAACTTTATCTTGGTGTCTGTGGGGGCCCCTGAGGAAAGTCTGAGTTCTCAGGGCTCCATGTCCTGGTTAAGTCCAGGCCTGGGCCTGCCCAGCCTGCAGTGGGCCAGCTTGGCCTAAATTCAGAGAGCCCTCCCTTTACCCTAGCCATTTGGAGGATGATATTATTTCTAAAAAACCCACAGCTCCCATAGGCTCTTGATGGAAGCATAAACCAGTTTCACCTCTCTAGATAGCAATTTGTCCCAACTCAAAACACACAATGCAACAACAGCTTCACTTTCTACAGAATTACTTACCAACAAACACAAAAATATATGTGCAAGGATGTTCACTGAAGCATTGTTTGAAGAAAATTGGAAAGGACCCAAACGTCCAAATAAATTATGGAGCCACCATACAATGGACACTATGCAGCTGTGAAAAAAGAATGAGCTACATCTGATTGTGCCTGGCACATAGTAGGCACACAATAAGCACAGGGAGATCTCCAAGTGCAGAAGGCAACTGCACAACAATGGCTATAGTATAGCTCCTCTTCTTTTTACAACGGTGCCTGTTTTTGCATACATCCTTAAAAAAATCAGAGGGTCAGCACTGAACTTTTAAGGCTGTTTGCTCGAAAGGGAAGAAGGAGAATTTCATCCTCACACATTGCCGTGGCTGCCTGAGGCTGGAGGAAGTGCCTAGATCACTGCAGTTGAAATGAGGGAAATTTTCGGAGTGATAAAAATATTCTAACACTGGATTACAGTGAAGACTGTGCAACTGATTAAATCTACTAAAATTCATAGAACTATATGTATATTAGGTGAGTGAATCATTTTGTGTAAATTATGTCAATATACTAGCTGAAAAAAATTGTAAAAAGCATTGCTGTAGAGTTTGAAACTTTTTAAGTATATATCCAATATGTTTTTTTTTTTTTAATAAAACACAAATCCAGAAACAATCACTTTTAACATATGCTTATAGTGATGCCTGTTCATTAGACAATTTGGAAAATTCAAACAAGTAGGAAGAAATTTCCTTAGCCACCCAGCCCCAAGACAGAACCTGGGCCAGCAACTGCCCAGCTGAGCGGCCCCTTCTGGAGCAGTGTGACTCTGACCTGCATGGTTGGTAATTAATAGAGGGCTGCTGTGGCTTGACCTTGGTCCC